CATGTACAGTACAATATGGAACACCTGCTACTGAACACTACAGTAGGCATTACCTTCTCATCTCATAATACATTCTGCATTGGTTGTTGGCAGACTTGTCTTTAGGCTGGTTAAAAATATCCATGCAGCATACATTCATATGAGTTGCCCTGTCTTTGTATTTTAAGTGCTGGCAAGTGGATGTATCGGTTCTCTGCCCTATTGGGTCATAATTTAATTTTCAGGCTGTTTGTTGGTTTCTAGGTCCTACTCCATTTCAGGCATTGCATTAAATTGTTTACATAAGGCCTAAAAAAACTTGTTTGTTTGCCATCATCCACCGCCCCTAAAATCCGAAAAAATGAGGGGTGGGTTTTTTTTTTTTCTTAAAAGCTTTTTTTTAAGTTTTAAAAATAAATTGATTTTTTTTTTTTTTTTTTTCCCCCAACACTTTTGATTTAACACAATTGCCGGTTCCATAGCACGCCCACTACGACTGTTTCACGCTTGGTTAACTCTAAACTTTTCTCTCCTCGTGGTAATTAGTAATACTACTACCAAGGTGATACAGTGTCGGTTGTTGCGATTTGTTCCTTTTTAACACATTTAGTAAGTAAATGAAGCTGGTGAGCTTGACCTGATACATAGTGCAGTACTTAGTTTACTTTAATCACGTGTCTTACTCCAATTAAAGATTTCTCTTCCAATCCCAAACCACAAAAAACATTAGCCCCAATTGCAAGGAGACCTATAGTGTACGATATATTCAGTTTCTACATTTAAAGAAAAAAAATTTTTATCCCACCCCTCAGCTTTTGCAAACCTCTATACAGACTGTTCACTTAAATAATTACAAGTGACAGCAAACAAACAATTTTTTTTTCTTTAGGCCTATGTATGAAGCATAGCCAATGTGCTATCTTACTTATGACATTAAACAAATAGATTAAACGTACACAATGTCATAAAAAACTATATATATAGGTTTGCTCAAATATTGTCTTTTTGAAAGTAAGGGAAAGGTTGTAATTAACACTAAGATCTTGTGAAAATTGGCCTATGCAAGTCTCTATAATAATAATAATAATAATAATAATAATAGTTGTACTGTATTTAGCACTTAACACCGCAGTTTCAAAGCGCTTGAAATGTGGACAAGTTTGTACAGTAACTTTATTCTCCTCTAAGGGTCTTTTCGTGTCTGAGCTACTGTACCCCGTAACTGATGCTGGTACTTTTGTCTGTTCACAGCTGTATGACCAACCCCTGCAGTACTCATCTCGAAAGGTATTTTCATTTCGACTTGAGTAGGAATGTTAAAAATATATTCAGAGCATTTTCAATGTCAATCTGCCAGATTACTGATTTATCAACCAATCTACTATACAAGTTCATAAAAATCAGGTAGATAATATTAATGAAGGATTATCTCCTACCCCCCTTCCCCAAAAAACATAAAAACTAAAAGCCAAAAGAGAGCAGTTTAATGCGCATTATTGCAAGATAATTCCTTGGCGATACAGGGTACCCACGTCTTTGTGACACATAATGATGCATGCAATTTTTCGAGGCTATTATTTATTTTGAAGTCTATAAAGAATCTAAAAACACTGTCTTTGTCACCTGTCATGTTGGAGCTCATTTTAAAAAAATATTTTAATAGGCGTTCTCATTTTGGAGTGGCCAGTCATCAGTGAGATTAAAATGCGATCTTGTTATTCTACACAAATTTGGAATGCAATTCAGTCTTCATACTCTTCAAACATTATTATTTTGATTGTAGTTATTGATCAGTTATTTCTTTCTAATGTAGTTAGTAATACCAGTAATATATTTGGTTTCTCACAAGTTTTTAATATTAAGGATAGAAAAAGATAATAAGTGGAAATGGTATTTAACAATAGCAAGCTTGCTTACGCTGATTAGAAAATTTATATTTGAAAATCTGTTTACAATGAATTTTGGTTATAAAGTAAACTGTTTATTATGGTGTCGATGTATCAATATTGTTTTGAGTAACAATTTTATTCTCTAATCATTCTACTATAGATAGTAATGTAGACTATCACAATGTTGCTTTTAACAAATCTGTTAATTAATATGGACTTTGTCATCATCAAACTTATAAATCAACATTACCAACTACTTTAACCAATTTCAAAATCAGGCTATAAATTTAATTTATTTAATTAAACAGCGGCCAGTGGTTATTATTCCAAACAAGTTCTTTTCAAAAGTATTCCTGTTAATGATAATTTTGGCGTGTCCAAGTTGAAAATTACAATCTAGCGAAATGATTTGTAATATAATTAGGATTAGTCACTTGACTAATGCACCTAGCTTCCAGTTGACCTTTGACACTCCTTTGGGTAGAATAGGACAGAGGATGCTACACTGTGGCAGCATCATGTAAATGGCATCCATTATGACAACACATCAGTTAAAAGTGAGAATGTCAACAGACTGTTCTGTGTACTATGCTTCACATATTATCAAGTGGCCGCATCTTCAATAATAAGATAGTCGTTATTTATTGGCACTGTGCAGTTGTGCTCTAATATGCAGAGCTTAGGGCATTTGTGACATTATTTGGCTCAGTAAAAGGAATATCTGAATTTGACAAATTTGTGATAAAGTCTCTTTAAGTTTAATCAATTAAATTTAAATTAATCGGTCAAACTCGTGAAAAGTACGATTTGATATCTTTCTTACATGTCAGAAGCTGGTAACTAACAACAGAACAGAAATGCATGATTACAACTTGGAAGAACTGTTTTTAATTTTAAGAGAAGATAGGCCTGGAGCTGATTTAAATTATTGTAAATATTTCATATTTTAGAAAAAAGAAAAGAAAACCTTTAAAATTAACATAAATAACAGTTAGATTTTGTAAAAAAATTAAATAAACTATGATATAGTAATAATAAGGTTGAATTTACCTTTAAAATAAAATACACCTAGTAAAGTCGAGGTACTGTATAGTTAAGATTGTGAGCCTCATAGAAATAGTATCATGATTTGTGAAACCATAGTTTCCATCAGGAAACCATTTCTACTGCTTCTTAAATCATTGTTTAATACCTGTATCATAAATATCAGTTACTGCATTTTGCTTATCAGAAATATTTTCATCGTTTAATATATGCCAAGCCATGTCTGTCATGTGAAGCATCTAAAATTTTTTATGGGCATTATCCATTCAGTGGTGGCGCTAGAAATTTGCTGACAGGGGGTCTGGCCAATCTGATGGGGTCTGAACCAAGTGGCGGACTAGAGCATTGGTCAGGGTCCAAAATAAAATTTCTTTTGTAGGGTTTATGGGAAGAGATTTTATGGCTTCCTATTATAGTAATATGGCCCAAAATTGTGCTTTTTAGAAAATATTATAAGCGATTGGCATTGGCAATCAAAACAAATTTTTTTAGATAGGCAAATTAATATTTGGTCCTACCATCATGGCATTGGACGACTAGGGTCCTGGTCTGTTCGACGGAAGAAATTATCCCCTTTTTAGCCCCACCGGCTGGTGGCGCCACTGCATCCATTATTTATATGGGTATCATTATTGGCATTGCTTTGTAGTGGGTGGTGACCCAAAGTAAGGTTGCAAGCTGAATTCAAGTGATATGCAGAGAATTATACCAAGTATTACAGAGATAAAACATTATCTGATATCAAAACAAAGAGTATATACCAACCATATTGTTGAATAACTTTTGGTTTTTGTGGTAAGAGCAAGAATCCAGAATTGTGGTCTGTGGTGAAGTGAGTAGAAATTTACCAGATAAAACAGGCTGAATCTTGTGGCCTGGTGGGCCCAGGTGTGTGTCAGGGATGTTAATCTCCTCCTCTTCCCCCCTCTCCCAACCCTTTGAACTGAAGCACTGTGAATTTCTTATAATTTGTAATGCAAATTGAGGTGTACTGTAGGTTGTTAAAACAGAAATGTGTTTGCTCAAATAGTGTATTTGGCTGAATTTTATGACTTGTCTTGTACACAGTAATTACAAATTATTGATTTAAAGCTGAATTGTATTTACCTAAGTGATAATGTTTCTAAATTATAAATTACTACACTATTATTGTTGTCATTACCAAGGTTCACTGACAACAAAACAATTCAAGGATATTATATCAATCTCTGTAATTATTGTATTGTAAGAATAAACAAAGAATAATCCATACATTGTCACAATCATAGAGATATTACCCATTAGAAACTGAATCTGAACATAATCTAAGAAAGTGGTAATACATTTGAACTGCCAAGGTCATTTAACTACAAACATAAACCCATACCATGCAAAAAATCCATATTAAAATGTAAATTACTACAGTTATGTATAATAACCTGAAGGTGTTTTCAAACTGTTCTGATGATCCTCCCACAAATCACAATATCAGTTGTTTGACCCATGATTGTCTGATTACTCAGTAATGCACAAAAAAAACATGTACCTTTTTACCCTTTAATAATAAATACTCTTGAATAGCGCCGCACCAAATCTGATTTTTTTTTCATTAAGCGCCGTTCTCGAATAGGCGCTGCGGGCTTAATCGAGAGTGTGTATTACCCAGTGTGTAATGAAACACTTCGGGGTTTTAGATATAATGTATAGTGTTAAAATGAATAAATAACACAATGAAGAAACATTTCTTTATAGATGTTTATTAAGATGACGTAGGATATATGATAGGCCAACTGAACTATGGGAATATGTGAGATAGGTAACATGGAAACGGCATGGAAAGCGTCACACCAATATAATTTGTCGCTCTCGATTAAACCCGCTCTCAAATAAGCGCCGCACTGAAGCCTCCAAAAACGCTATTAGGGCCTCTGTGCTAATTCAAGCATTTACGGTTTAAGGGTAAATGGACATTAATGTCATTTTGTTTGAGTGTTGAAATAATGAGGCATATAATTAATGAAGTATACTTTACTGTATTAATAATTTTTACTTTTTTATAGCTTGATGTTACGGAGCAAAATTTAATGTTACAACCAATTATTCTTTCAGGTCTCTGATCAGGAGCTATGGGAAAGTTTACTAGAATTTTTTGGTTTACCTCCGTTTTGCGGACAAGGTGGCTATGCGCTAAGGCAGATTTATACAAGGTGAGATGCTTTTTACCATAGTTCTTCCTCTTTCAGTTAATCTTGTTGATCTACAGTATGTAAAGAATTTTCCTAATGCTGTAATTTAATGTCTTCAGGTTGGGAGAACAGTACAGTGCATTTTCAAACTGGAAATATAGGTCTTAATAGTGAATTTGTTGTTTACTTGCCCAAATAGACAGTTCTCATCATGTTTTATTTTCCAAAATCTATTCAGAAACATGTTCAAAATACAATACTAAATAGGTAAACACGGGCCAAACATATAAAATATCTAATAGCCTTTAAATTATTTGGATACTTTAGGAAGGTTTATAGGCCTAATGCTTTAAAATTTACACATTCTTGTCCTCTTTTGCATTCTTTTTTGGACTGAATCCTTAAGGCTTTAAAAAAAAAAAAAATAACAATGTGTCTCTATGTGCATATTGGTATAAATAAACCTATATGTATTTTGGCTTGATGCCCCAATATAGGGCAAATTGGTCCATGCAGTTGCCTTTGAATTAGTCTGCCTTTTATCTGGTAAGCGCATAGAGGCATAGTCTCTAGTCATATTATTAATATGCACTATCAACATGCACTAAATAATCTTTGTTAAAAGGAATAATAGAATTGGCCTTATTTTGAAATATCTCTAAAGTTGTCCCATGGGCGTCGGCTAGCATATTTTCATTCAAAACACCTTGCTCCAAAAATCTAATGTGCATTTTTTTTATGTTTGTCTGTAATAATCATTAGAAAGAAAGGTTCTTTATCAATAATAATCTGTGGCTAACTCTGATGCTAAACCTACTGTGTTGGCTTAGCCAATACAAGAGACCTGTGACCTCTCATTCTGACCTTGCATTCAAACCCTTTAGCCAATGAGTTTCAAGTATTTCCACACCTGGTATACATATTTTACATCTTCAAAAGCTAATTAATGTTTTTCCTGTAGACTTTTATGGTATTTTCTTTTTTTTTCTTTAACTCTAAGTTAGTTCTACAGTTTCGAATATATTCCAAAACCTTTTTATTTTTTTTAATAATATATTTTATTCTTTAGTTAGTACAGATTTACACAGGTTTTAATGGCGAATTAGGCCCAATAAAATTATTATTAGTTTATCACCTTTGCATGTCTTCTATGGTTTTGAAAAAAATATATATATTTTTGAACAAAATTTTTTTTTTTGAGAAATAATGTTTTTACATTTTTCATTTTTTTGTAAATAGTCAGTAGATGTTGTTTGTATTATCTCAATCGTATGGGGTGCCATACGCAGCAAAAGTCCATGTTAAATTCAAAATGTAATTGCAAAATTCAATGTCTAATTTATCAAATCGTAGGCGTAAATTTCTCAAAATATAGATCTAGTTTCTCAAAATGAAGTTCTAATTTTTCAAAACGTAGTTCAAATTTTCCAAAATGTAGTTCTAATTTCTTTAAAATGTAATTCAAATTCAAAGTTGAGGTCTGAGTTGATCAAACGCCCTCTCCAAATTCTATTCCAAAACGTAAATCAAAAACCAGACTGGTTTGAAATGCATTTTACAGCAACACTAGACATGGACTTTTGCTGCGTATGGCACCCCATACAATCATGCTTTACTTTGAATATCAATACACCAGCAAACAACCCAAGGATGATATTTGGCTTTAGCAAAATAAAGCATCTCCCTCTCTCATCACTTTTCCAGCCTACTACAGTATCCTGTTTAAGTGAAAATCATTTAAATTGCAGTGTTTGACATTTAAAATAATAATTTTTGAAATTAATTTTATTCAAATTTTACACTGAGAGACAGATTTTCTCAATTTTAATACCAAAGTTTATAATGTCAGATGGAACGTGTTATGTAACAATTAATATAATACCATTCTTTAAAAGGCAACTTGAGTATGTAGAAAAAGTGTCTTATTATTGGAGAGATGAATATTATAATTTTTAAGATGATAGATTGTGAAATTGCCTAAAAAATATCTATCAATCATTTCTAAGTTTGTCCTGTAGTAGTTTTTCACCAGACATAGCTCTTTTCATCTTACAGTAGTAGGCCTACTGTCTCTAGTAGTACTGTCTCTGTTTGATAAGTCTAAAATAAAAGTCTTTCTTCCTAAATACATCTTTAATTCCTAATTAATAACACTCTACAAGCCAATAGGTTGTTTAAAAAAATGATTTATTGGCTGTGTGCATAATTTTTCAGTGCGTGTATATCGAATCTGCTTCTTCCTGCATTAAGACAGGCTTAATAAATGTGTTTGTATCAACGCAAAGGGTCAGAGGTTGAATAATTTTCAAAGTATGAAATTAATTCAAGATTCTATCACTCAGGTGAAAGTAATTACACAATGTGTTTATTTTGCTTTTGAAAATATGCTGTTGAAAATACTGTAAATATAGCGCTATACGAGTTTCTGTTGTATAGTAACATTGCATAATACAAGTTTTGATTATGAATTTAATTTTTATTGTCTCTGCTGTAAAATATATTTGTTGGTGGTTTGCATTGATACATAAACATTTGTTTTTCTTGAGAGTGATAAAATATTTTCTTATTTAAACATTGGTGTCTACAAATTGCAAAACCAAGTAATTCATACACTATATTTTATAATAATGTAGATGCACAATGTAATTGGAATGAGTTCCTGTTTATCGTTTAAACTAAATTGTTTTTATTAACTGTGTGCTGGAGTGGGAAAATCAGGGATATGCCAGTGTTCTAGCACCTTTATTTTCATGCTTCAGTGATGGCTTACAGAGCTTTGACATTATATTCGGTTGTACTGGTTTGTTCTCTCAGACGCTTTTGTTTGTATAAGCGCTGTTGTTTTTATGTCTCAATAAATCTTTATTTGGTTGTGACATTTGTTTTTGGATTAATAATCAAATAGTAAGAAAACTTAGTCTGTCTATGACATTAGTTAGACGTCGTTCAGGGCTTGGCCTGGTATAGCATAGTTTTTGGAAGTCCGGCATCAACAAACACTTGGGAAGCGAACTTGGCAAGAATGCCTTTGTTACTCCGAGCCCAGTGTAAAAATTGAACATTTTATACGGGATTAATATTAAATAGTAAGAAAACTTAATCTGTCTGTATCACATCAGTAAGATGTCATTCAGGGCATGATTTGGTATTTGCATAGTTTTGGGAAGTCCAGCATCAACAAACGCTTGGGGTGCCAACTTGGCTATAGAATGCCTTTGTTACTCCGAGTCCAGTGTAAAAATTAACATTTTATACTGTATTTTAAATTAATCGCCAATGATTAGTTTTATTAAGGTGCTCATTAGGTGGTCATAAGGTGCTCATTACTCTTCCTTGAAGAGTAATGAGCACTTTTATTAACTGATGGTTATGGAATACATGAATTAAAGCTTAATTATAAAATACATTCATGTAACTAGACTGAGAAGTGTGATGTGTCATTGTACTCTACTAATTGTATCGAAAAGTGATTGATGCTGGTGTGAACTATTTTTATAAAGCAGAATGTATTACTAAATGTAGGTATCACAACACCAAACACAATTTTATTTTCTTTCTGTGTGAAGGAGAGAAAAAAAAACTAATTCATTACAGTAATTATGAAATTTCTCATTTGAGGATCAGAATTTGTTCAAATAAGACTTGAAATAATAACGTTGAGTTTCACTGATTCAAACTATGAAAATGCTTAATACTCTTTCTTTAAAATTTCAGTTCTTCTGCCTTTCATTATAATAATATTAGTAATTTAAACTGTTAATAAGCAAAGGAATAAATTTAACTATTTTCAAATGAATGCTAATTTTGCACTTCAAATTTAATACAAAGTACAGTACTGTAGAAATGTGATATTGCATTTTATTCAAATTAAAATAACTTAGAAAGTATGTATAAAGTTAAAGGGATAGGACATTGTTATTCATATTTAATTGTAAGTTATTTTAGGATACAATTATAATCTTCTGCTTAAAAACATCAATTGATAATACAAATATCTTCTTTTATCACTCCCAGTATTTGCATATATTAACATTGGAAAAAACTATCACTGAAAAGGATATCATAGTTAAACAAAATAAACAATGTACTTGACTAGATATTTGTGGTTTTGGGAAATGATTAAAGATGTGTGTCATGTGCAGAAGCAAATGATGTTTTTTAATCTCAAGGTTTCTTGCATATTTTTTACTCTATTTTTATTTAAGACCATCCCTAAAATATTTTTAAGGGACAGTGAAAGTAATAAAAATAAACTGATAGGCAGAACACACAGTAGTCCTTAGTTTATAAAGGAAAAGTCAAAACTGTACATCTACTGTGGATAGAATATTGCAGGAAGCCATTACTGTTAATGTTAGGATATAAAAATTGTCTTATTTTTTTCTAGCATGAGTTTGTGTTCGAAATTATAATCTTAGATTCTTACACCGACCAATTTCAGAGGTCATGGTAATAAATGACGGGTATAAGATAGAATTGCTTATTATTAGCGAATACTCTACCAATACTAGGCAAACAAAGACATAGACTTCATAGAGTTGGACTCTGAAACCCAAGCCTATTGCTGGACGGCTTTGTGTTGATTGATGAAGGCTTTGAGCAGCCTTCACGCACCACTGCACACAGCTTTGTTATGTTAATGCCAAGCCTCACTGTATGCTACTCTAAACATAATGGCAGAGATCATAAAGTGCTGGCAAATAATAGTACAGTTAAATCATAACAACAGGCTTTAATTATACACAACCATATTTAAACATAAACAAGATTGAAGTTTTTTTTGTCTGTGGTAAAACAATCTTTCTTAATTAATCTTGAAGGTCATTAAAAATATAGGGAAAAAATGCTAGAAATTTGTGAGAGGATAATTACTAAATACTGTTTGGATAGGACTTGGCTGACCGAGTACTGTATAACTTTCCTATAAAGTGTTATCGCTGTTATTTTTCAATTAAAATTTGGTACATTTTAACAAGACATTATAAGAAGTTAGCAAAAAAATAAAATACTGACTACTCTGTACTGAATGATCAAAACAAATAATCTAAAAATATTGTACATATAACAAAAACAAAACACCATTATTCATGAGAAATTTGCTTGGTTGTGTAAATTTATATCCCCATGGGAATTGGAACAATTATAAAATGTCTCCACATTAAGCCAGCCTAATGTTAGTGATAGTGATTGCAAACAAGGTAGTTTCACCATGGCAAAGTAATGGTGTGTTTGTTTTTTTTTTAATGGATTTTATTGCATTAAATGCTGGAGGATCCATGTTGATGATGTCTGTCACAAAATGACATCATCAACTTTTAAAATCGTTTAAAAAGAAAGCCTCTTTACTTTTATAACAACATTATTATCATCACAATTAATTCGGGTATTATTAATTGTATTTACTTAGGTTTGCTGTTTTTTATTGTGTGCTATTTTCTATTTTTATTGTATTAATTTTATTGGTTTTATATTATAATTTCTATATATTGTACATAAATATTTATATTGAATTTTATGAATCCTGTAATTGGCATTTTACGCTGTTGGATGGAATGAAATAAAATAAAATAAAAAATAAACAAAACATTGTAATTAGATTATTTAGCAAAGCGGGGATATTCAAAAAAAGATGGTCACCTTCCTTCCAGTACCAAGGTTCTCAGTTAAAGTCCTAGTGGATGATATTTGCAAAAGAATTGAAAATCAGAATGCTACCCAATCACATTGACATTTTTTTTCCCTTTTTTTTTTTAGTAAGATTTTTTTACTACATCTTTAATTACTTGTTTCTACAGACATTTTATAGTTTTATTTTTACTGCTCGGGCTACCTCTGCCCGATTAAACCCCTTTGTTCTGGGATTGCAAAAAATGAAAATATAGGCACAGACCAACATTTCAAATTACTCAACTACGTTCTAAGCATTTTAAATTTATAATCGACTGCATGACAATGTTTTGAATGCTATACACTGAGATTAAACCAAGGGCAAAGGGTGATGTGCTATTTCTTGAAATTTAATTTTATTTAATATGGAATAGTATTTATGTGATATTTGGCATGGATGTTTCCTGTGTTGTTTGATATGCAGTTGGCTTTGTCTGTTATTCCCATTATTTATGATCTTTAGTATTAGACCAACTGGCATGGAATTTTATATTGCTAGTGGCGAGACTTTGTTCCTTTTAGTATGACATCCCCTAGTTATATTAAAATACAAGAAAATTTCAGGGTATTTGCTTACTTTTTTAAAAATCTTGAAATATGACATTCAAATGATTTCAAAAATAATTGGATCCTTATACAAGAATAATTAATTTTAATAAATCTTCATAACTAAAATACCCTTTAAAACAATTTAAAAAATCCACTATTTTGTACTTTTTTATATAATACTTATTTAACCGTAAATTGATTATAAACACTTTACTATATTATATTATAAAAAAATTATACAATAACCATTCAGAATTACATATACATGATTTAATTACAACTGTTTTGAATTACCATAATGATTGTCTCATTTCCAAATATAATTATTAAATATTTTATGTTTAATAATTTGGTGTCAGTATTTCATAATTTAATTTCAATTACCATGAATATTTATTAACTACTGTTAACAGATAGAACCCTTTAAAAAATAATATGAAAATGAATGTGTGTTCATGAAAGTACTACATATTGCTTCATTGATCATGTTTGTTAAATTATTTATGCTGAATTACAAATAAAATGTCTGAAAGCATATCCAAATATTTACTCTTTGTAATAAATAATAATGATAACCAGAAACGAATTTTTTATTTTGATGCAAATTTCTGGGTTGTATTAGACCTACGGTTTATGCTTTGTAATAAGTAGAAAGAGAATCAATTAAATTATGCATTGCATGCATGTTTCAACATTAAAAAAATACAATGATTAAACTATAGGTCCTACAACTAATTCACATAATAATCAAAGGTGTGTTAGGTATGTAGTGAGTTGGAAATTAAGGGCTTATAGTACCACCATGAAATATTGCACTTTTACCTTGCGCAGGCTTCGTAGATACATCGTAGCCTGATATAAACAATCTAACCTGCGCGCAGACTTCGTAGGTACATCGTAGCCTGATATAAACAATCTAAGCAAGGCTACGCGAAGCGAACCTACAAAGCAAAAGCATGTTGTTATTTGTATGTGCAGAAAGACTGCTGTAGCTTACTGGCATAAACAATGTATTGTTTGATAATTTGTGAATGGCAAACACGAGTTTAGACCGTTAATTTAAAGTATGGAACTGTTTTTCAATAAGAAAAACGTACACTTGACTTCATGGGAGTCTCCTCTTCCACTCGCTGTCCACGACAGGAACTTGTTTGTACTGCTGTATTATTATTTTTAATTAATTAGCCTAGGCCTAGCTTATTTTTTATTTACAATTATTTTACCTCATTTAAAATGTCAAAAAACGATGTCCTCAATGACAATACACACATGTGAAAAGATTGTTCATCAAATAATATTTTGTAGTCTTGATTTAGTAAGATAAATAATAAATATAAAGGAGAATTAACGTCCGTTGGTTGTAAAATTACCGAATGTCACATGGAAAACCCAATGGAAAATAAACTTAGCCAGCATTAGACGTCAGAGTGCGCGCCAATCAGAACACAGTAAAGTGTGTTAAAGGTTAACCTCGTGGCAAATGTTGAAAAGCTGTGAGCAACAGTGAGTAAAAAACGGAGTAAATGCGGTCTAGCATGACCAGCCTTAATTCGGCAAGGTAGTGATTTCTATACTTTCATTTAGTATTGGATTGCTTTGCAGGTTGTTCTGCTTCAAATTACGGTAAACAATAAACAACGTGATCTGTAGAAATCGTAATAATTTGTACATGATTTGTCATCAGTATTATTTAAAAGAAGAAAATTCCTACTTCGTAGTTCGTAGCTATATTCAAAACGTACCTACGAGCAGATTACGAGAGGTTACGTGCAGATACAAAGCGGTAATTAGTGTCTGTACTGTATGAATACTCTAGGAATGTAAGGTCAAGTCTCTGGAGAAATTAATGAAATTTACAGTATGGTGTTATGTTAACCCATCAGTTATATGCTGACCCCAAATTAGTGTAGAATTAATTTTGGCTACCAATTTTGATATTAAGTAGTTCACATAAGATTTGTTTTTTGAGAAATGATTCTTTCTATTAAAAAAAAAATACTGTGTATGTATTATTAGCCTTTAGAAATAATGATACTGAAATCATTATTTCATTTACAATTGTACTTAAAATTAAAATTTAAATAAATTATGTAATTAGAAGCAGGACTTTTTGCTTGCCTACTGAAAAAAAAAATGATTAATAATATCCCTTAATAATAAACAACTTAAATAAACATATCCCTGCAGGCCTGCCTAATATAACAAAAAATTGTAGATCTGGAGAAAAGGCAAAGTCCCAGCTACTGTATGCGAATTTCGCTGTATTTGATCCAAGGCCTATTTACACAGAATACAACGGCGGCATGCAGTAGCAACAAAAATATTCTGTTGTGTAGTACGATCCATTTATGTAGCACGCTACAACAGTGCTGTGACACACCCAACTTTCATGGCTGGTTCTGCAGTAGTTGTATACACTGTATTTGCCTTGTATAAATTGTTGCTCAACTGTACAACTTTAGCATGCATACTAATCTTGTCCAAATTTGACCTTATCAAAAGAAAATGTGAAGTGAAATATTTGAATTACGAATAATACCGCTGCTAAGATATACTGTATTTAGCCAAGTCAGTAATGATTGCATTTGATTAACTGCTTTGAGGGTAACCGTTCACAACTAACCACACGGCTTGGGTTACTGATACCAATGATAATGTAGCGGAGGTCAGGTACTTACTGTACATGGTTTGTTTGTCCAAAAAAAATAGTACTGTATGTTATATTTACCAGTTCAAGAAAACAATTTTTGTTCAAACAATTGCCATTTTGTTTTTGGCTTAACAGTATAATTGTATGTTTTTTGTTAAAGCTTCCAAGATGCTGTGATGGCACATTTTGGATGGAAGACCTGCACACTGTGTTTCTGTGGTGTGCTGTAGTTAGGAAGACAGTCATTCAAGTACAGCATTGTGTTTAATTACATACTTAGGGAATTTCCCTTTTTCTGGCACTACAGCTACTGATGGGGAGCATGTCATGCTTGAGTGGGCACAATAGTAAACATAGTTCAAAAAGTATTAGCCAATGAACTCTGACTAATTCAGAGGCTGTGTTTACTGAAGCGTTAAGGAGGATATCCCATGTGATCAGTGATTGTTGGATACATTGTTCTAACATTCAGAGGATGTGTTGGGTCAGGAGTCAGCAGTGCATTATGATCGTAACATCAGTGTCACGTAAATTAATATTATATTGCATAGAGTCTGGGAGTACTTACATTTTTAATTTTCTGATTGGTAAACCAGTCTTCATGGTGAAACCTATGGTTTTTGTTATATTGCATAATATTTATACTTATGAAAAAAGTGACCAAATTAATATGGGTAGGGAAACTATGTAGCAGGTTACAAGTTAGATCGATTCTTTTCATTCTTGACTATCATGGGCCTTTCCTCAGAGCTGCTGGTATTAAGTTTTTTCTTTGATGTCCAACATAGGACTGTTAATTGTGTTTTTTGCATTTACTACATTTAATGTCTTTCTTTGTTGACTATTCAGCATTAAAAGTTGTAGAAAAATATTTTCCTACTTACTCTAGCATTATTTAATTTGTTCAAAAACCTGATCATTATATTTATTTACCCTTATCATTATTGAGAATAAAGTTAATCGGAAATTTATGTTGGTCTTCAAAGACATGTAGTAGTTTCTATGGTGTAGTGGTGTGGTATAAAGTCAACTCCGCATACATCCGAGTAACTAGGCTAGTATTAGTAATGAAACAAGAAAAACTATTATTTGATAATTTGTTGTTTTATTTTTTTTCTGTTTAGGCATCTAGTGGCCTATGAGAGAATAAATCATGGGGGTGAAGACACAGAAGAGGTGCTACGTGGCGAGGGTGGCCGTGTCAGTATGTCACTCAGTACTGCTCAGAAATTTAGCTATGGACGAAGCGTTCCAGGTATGCTTTGATTTGATTTAATTTGATTTGTTCTATATCAACAGAACAACATCACAAAATTGGAACAACAATAAACAAAAAAGAGAAAACAAGCAAGTCATCATTGTTGATATCTGGGATAACCCTCTAAATCCCAACACAGGATTTATTTCCAGAGGGGTCCCAAAATACACAAAACAGACGACACCAAAAAAATAGACATGGAAAATGAGTTAACAATCAACAAGCAAGTATTCCAGAGAACAGAGGCAAAAACCGATATCTTATGCAGTTAAAATAGTCATTATTAATAGGTATGCTTTCATACTGTTTTATTAATTTCTAGCATTAAATCAGTGTCATTCCTGTTAAGGTTTATTTTTACTTTCACATTTTTATATCCTTTACAAATTACTGTATTACTTTGATAAAAATTGTCTTTGATTAGGGTATATAATTTTGAACAATTTATTAATTTATATATGTTATTAAAATTCTATTTAATAATTTATAAATTTTAACAAAAATTGGTAACAGAATTGGTATTATCTTATTGTTTAGAATGGAAACATGAAAGCATACAGTAGTACTGTATTTGTAGGCTAAATACACCAGAATTTAAACTCTGAATAATTTCTCTGAGTGAAATATTTTTAACTGTTGAAATAAAAGCAGTGAATCGAGTTCAACCTAGACAAAGAAAATAATGAACTTTGACGATTTCAGTTTTCTTCTCTAAGAAATGCTAGGTTTTCAAACTTCCTTTAGAGGAAATAATTATTGTTATCATTTGCTATACCAGTTTCGTGAATAATAGTTTTGGTTTTAGAAAGGTAATTTGGTGTTATATTCTTTAAGCTTTCTTGTATGTATTTCCTGTGGGTTTAAAAAATAAAGAAGAGAATAATTTTTGTTTCCCTTTCTTAAAATATATTGCACCTGTTTTACAAAAAAGAAAAATAAATTCACTTTAGTGTAAAGTGTTGTTGGATAAAGGTAGATTATTTTATTTATTCATTTTTATATAATGTATGAAATTTTACTTTTAAGTATAAAAGTAAGGAGGTCCTTTTGAAAAGAGTTCATTTTTAATTTGTCTACAGTTCAACAAATATTGAATAAAGAGAGAAGATCTACTATTACATAAAATATATGTACTATAATTTACTGTTGATTGAATTGATCACATTAATATAATATACTTTAAACATAAAGTATAGTACATGTTTGAGTCACCAACTCAGAATAAATTAAAATAAAGAAGTGAATATTGAAAAAGCTGGTAAAGTAATACCAGCTTATTTATCAGGTTCAAGGGCAACATGTCCTATGTGTGGGAAATGAATTTAAAAAAAATTTTGCTTCAGGCATGGATAAATTTGAGAATCGTACTGCAGTATAATGTCGAATTATTTTAAAAATAGCCTGTTTTTTATCCGATTTGTTTATGAAGTGGAATTTTTTTCTCTTTTTTTTAAAAACTACTTTTAATGTACCAGTACACAGTCATCTAGTCGTGAATGATTGTTCATTATGTAGGAGGAGGTTTTACAATTTTAGATTTTCTTGAGGTTTTATTTAGCAGTAGGCCTACTATATTTTGGGTTATTTGTAGTTGTTCAATGTGCAAATAATAAATAGAAATAAGGCTTACACAAAGCAGGTACATCACATAACCACCACCACCACAGAATATATATTACTTGAAGGCCTACAATATTTCATAATCTGAAACTAAATAACAAAGTAATTTTTGAAATGAGGCTCTTAAGATACATTTTTTAATGATTTAAACTGTAGGACAAATTACTTTTTTTTTTAATGAAATAAATGTTCAACTTGTGATTTATTAAAAAAATAAATCAGGCTATTTTACTATTAACAAAAAAACAAAGATATGAGGGAAAATTATTGTTTATATGGCCTTTCACCTTATGAAATTAAACATTGGCAGTAAAACAGAACAGAGGATAATGGAATTTCCTTAATAAGAACAAAATGCTAAATTTACTATTAATTTTGTGCCAAGAAATATATTGTTGAATTTGTATATTCAGTATGTATGGATAAACAGAGTCACATATCAATTAAGTCTTCAATTTTCAGCAGAAATAATTTTTGGTTTTTTGTGACAAGCAATAGTCTCACCATTACAAAATTTCACTGAAAATCTAATTGGTAAAAGTTATAAACTTAAATATTGACACATTTTTGATGATTTTATGATTGAATTTACATTTTGACCCATATACTTTGAGTATTCTTTAATAAAATATTTTGTATTTATTTATTTCTTTGATAATATGTGGCAAAGACAAGCCAAACCAGTCACTCGTCGCAAATCGTGTTTCAGAGAAAATAGCCAAAACATGCTTGAATGTCAAATTTTTTTAAATCTATTTTATTGCACTAAACTAATCTTTACATATCTATACATTATTCTATGCTGTTATTTTCCCCATTTTCAATGTTAAAACAACACTTTTTAACGATTTGATGATAGTTTCTGCATGAGAAATGCCTGAAATCATAAACTTTGAAGGCTGATTTCTCATATATTGTTCTTTAAACAGCTGTATGTTTAAACGCTTGTAACTTCATAAGGAAATGTCTGATTTGAATGATTTTTTACCATTTTATAGCTATTATTTTGCTCTCTAACAATGTATTAATAACTCAAAATTGATTTTTGCGACGAGTGACTGGTTTGGCTTGTCTTTGCCACATATTTATGTTTCAAATTTGTTTCGTAGAAAATGTCCGCTTAACAACGTGCATGGAAACGGCCCTCGCCAAATTAACGGATTACGATAAGCTCAAGTTGTCGTTAGAGTGCGGTCTTCCAAATGAGATTGACTTCGCACTTAATGTGTGCACTCTTTTGTCCAATGAGAGTAAGCACGTCCTTCATCTGGAGCAAGAGCCTCGGCTAGTGGACTTGTTACTGGCACATGTTGGCATTTTCTTAGAAGGTGAGGAACAAATATTTTTGGTGAACTTGTCGATGTGAAAAATCTGGCCTATTTTAGAAATGTGGTGGCAAATAAACGAAGATTATGATAATAATCCCAAGATTGGTGCAGAATGGTATGATTTCGTAAACTATGGCTCTTTGCATTGGTTTATTTTAAACTTGTGTATCTAGCCTATTTAATTTACCCAGGAACAAAATTTGCATTAATTATTAAAAAGTACAGTAAGCAGTTGCAGTTGGTACAAGTAACCATGAGAATGTTCTCAAGGTCCTTTGAGTCCTAGGTTCAAATCCTGACATCTGGAATTTTTTCCCATGACTAATTAACATTCTACATTCTAATTCCATTGTGTACTTGCTATTGTATATGACATAAATAAATTTATATATTATCAAAAAGTATTGTTTACTTATTTACTGCAGTCATACTTAGAATATTATAACTTTATTCCTGATGGTCTTCTGGATAATTTTTAAGGTACTTAAAGTATCTGTAATGAAATTCTTATTTGTTAAATAATGGTTTTTTCTTCATAGGTGCCGGAAGTTACAGAAATGTCTACCAAGATAGTTGGAAAGGTTACACAAACCGAGACTTTGTAAAATTTTGGTACGATAGTGTCCAGGATAAGGAGATTAGGGAAGTTATCGGCCCAGACTCCAAAAAACCAAAAGGTAATAAAGTCCTAGAAGACATGCTATCAAACAAGTATGATAAAATATTCACACACTTAGAATCGTATTTCTAAGCACCTGAAAATATAAGGTCTTTGGAAAGGGAAGTTGTAAAACCAGACTTTCAAATCAAATTTCCTTGTCTCTCAAATTTGTCAGGACTACTTAAAATATATTTTATTAACAAATCCTCAAATGGGATCATATTAATTGTTCTTTCAATTATCTCTGCTTTTTCTCAGCATTTTGTTCTGCTTTCAGAATAATGCCTTTAATGTTAAAACTAAGAACATGTGAATATGTAAAATATTTTTAGTTTTCATCTGTCAAACTAAGGAATTTGACATGATTATTATTTATAATCATATCCCAAGGCCTAAGCCAAGTCTAAGTTTACTAAGATTAAACTGACTAGTCTTATCTGATTAAGTATGATTTGAAAATGTATTACTTTTGTTGATATTTAAAGCTTTGTCCAAATTTTTTTTTACAAAAAACTTTTGTATACCCAAGTCATGATGTGCCTTTATACAGGAATGTCACATGTTTTTGTCAAGTAAAATTTAATAGTTGGGTACAGGGCTTAACATTCATGGTAACTGTCTTTGTGTTCAAATTTAAAAACCATCAAAACTTCAATCATTGAATGCTGTAGGACACAATGAAGTTCTCAATGTTCAATGAGACAAATAGAACTTTAACTCAGTTTTCGCTGATCTACAGATCAATGCTCTACTTTGATTGCTCGGTCTACATAATGTGCCGTCTGCTCAATGCCGTATATGAGTTTATTGGAACTCTAAAGTAGGCCTCAAATATCCCATTCTAAATTTTTCAATTTATTTTGCATTCTTGGCGTCTTTGGACTAGGAATTCTTTAAATTAAATTTTAAATTTAAATCTTCTTTAGCCATTAGAATAAAAACAATTCAGTTTATTTTCTTACTCTACTACATGCAATTTTGTTAAGTTGTATTTACTGCATGTCGGGTATGTCAGTTCTAGGTGATAAACATCCAAACAAAAAATTAAAAAAATAAAAATCACGTCAAAATAAAATGGTAGCCTTTTGGATAGAGGTAAAAATTTTGTCATGCATTAATAGTAAATTTGTGCACAGAATGCATTAGACAATTACATTGAAGATTAGGTGATGTATTTGGCTTTTACATACAACCAATACAACTATTAAAGAATACAATTGATGACTAAATAACCAATAAGACTATATAACCAATAATAATATTTCAGTTTTATTTAAAGGTAAAGACAGTCAAATATTAATTTATGATTATGTGAATTGAAAAAAACCAGAAACTGCTTAGCACCAAGTAAAGAAAAAAGTAGATGACATGTTATTGTTAGCAGACTCAAGGTCCATACGTTTACAGCCCTGTTTTTAAATGTAAACAGATTAAGATATTATAAAAAAAATGTTATTTCAAATTATGTTTATTATCTATATTTTTTTTAAAGGGAAAAAAAAACACTCCTAAATTGTTCATGCTAAAAACAGTGCAGAGAAAATATTGTTTCATTTTCTTTGTTTTTGCAGACATTAACAAGTTCACCGATTCAATGTTGTTCGCTCAGAGAACTGAAGGAATTAATGACATTGAGAAAAATCGTATTTTACAGGTCAGTGCCATTGGTTTTGATAGCAACGTCTTGTTTCGTGTAGATATATTTATCATACCACATTCTCCACTGGAATGCAACATAAATAAATAACAAATTATCTTTTTATCCTTGTGTCCCTGTAATTTCTGTCTCCGTTTACAGAAATGTAATCAAGAAATATGTTCTTATTCTTTAGTTCAGTATGGTCTTTCTATATTTAGATATGTTATTCAATATTTTATAATTTATTTAAATTTCTATTATTTATTTATTGTGACATAACGTTACTTAAAATATGATTCTCAAAGACTGTCGCAAACCCGAGGAAGCAGATTAAGCGGTTATGCCAACATTTTTATTTTTATCACCACCGTAGTTTTAATTCATTTAGTTTATTTATTTGACAAAAATACAACACATTAAAAATACAAACAAGAAAAGTGCTTAGGGAATCTAAAAAATTGATTGAATCATTATGTTTGAAAGAGTAATTATTTCCAAAATGTGTTTCTAATAAATTATATTTGTTTGCATTAAATTTCTTTTCATTTTAGATTTTTATAAAACAAAAGTAACCTATAAAAAATGAATCATATCTTTTTTTATACAATGTTTTTAGTTCAGAAATATTATTGATAACTCGGAAGTTATTAATATCAAGGTCATATTAAAGGAAATTTGATTTTAAGAGTTTCTCGATTTTATTGTTAGAGTACATCTGGTTCTTTTCTTGTATGTTTGTGATGTCCTTTTTGATAGAGGTTTTTAATTTTTTTTTTATTTTAAATAAGTTATCACCACTATTTGGAGACTGTTGGTTTGATTCCTGACAGAACAGTAACCTTTTCTTTTTTTTAAATGTATTGTTACTTGGAAAACAGGAAAAAGTCATACAAATCAATTTTGAAATTTACCAGCTCATGTTGAATTAACACAAATGTTATCAAGTTGAACATAGAAATTATTGTATTTAAAGATGTTAATAACTAACACAAAAATGATAAATGTGATAGAAATACTTCCAGTTATGATTTTTATTCAGGATTTCAATCTGGAACCATTTTTCAATTCTTTATTAAAATAAGGAAGTTGATTTCAAACTTGATTTTTATGACCTTTTTGTCAATTTTCTGGGACAATACATCTTTACAATAAAATGATGTAATTGTAATGTAATGAATGAATAATTGATTCATGTACCTTCCGTTATCATAGGCACAATATCATTATTAGTGTTTGCTTAACAACAGGTGGGGATTATATTGCGCAACCTGTCATTTGAACAGCACAATCAGCATGTGATGGCGCGGCATCGGACGTTGTACCGTTTCTTGCTTCTATGCTCACACAACGATTGTTCAACACTGAAACATATTGGAATGGATACATTAAGTAACATAGCAGAATTAGTGAGTAAAGAAATATGTTTTTTTTTTTTAATGTCTTTCGTATCGTATGGCATTATTGAGCATTCTAATCCATGTTAATAATCTGTTGTTTATATAATAAGCAGACATTACCTATTAATTTGTCCTGTTGTTTTTTTTCTATTATTTCTATATATTTAGGCTTTATCAAGTGAATATCTGCTTATATGTTTAATGTATTATTTAATGTTCCCTTCTGAATGCCTTAGGATAAAATAATATCTAACAGATACTCAATTGGATAATGTCTTTATCTGATGTCTGTTCTTTCTATGCAAATTTGAGAATCAAAAGTTGGAAATTATTTTTAATAATTTAATTGCTTTTTGTCAAAAAAAATTGGAAATTAATACATGGAGTGTTTACATTGCAAAACAAGATAAGGAAGTAAATTGATGGCAATATGTAATTATGTCACAAAAGATTTATGACTCATATTAAACATATGATATATGAACATTTAACCTAGTTATAAATAAGATGTTTTAACAAATGTTAAAATGTATTTCTAAACAGTGATGATGTATTCTCTAGTGAATTTGCATCCGTGATCTGTTTGAATAGTGGATATAAAATTCAGCATGGAATGAATTTTGTAACCGTTAGAGAACATATTGATTTTTTTTTTATTGTTGTCTTCGTCTTTGTTAATGCTATGAATAATTTTATTTCTGATGGAGGAAGTTTCCAACAAGAGATATTATTTTATCAAAATTGCAAGTGGAGAATGGCATTTGAAATTGCTATAGATCTATCAAACTGATTTTTGTGAATGTCAAATTTATAACATTTCTCTTTTATTTTACTTGCAGTTTAACTTGGATCCTATAGATTATCGTAGTTCACAACTCATGTTTCATACAATTTATAAAGGACTTTATGATAAGGATAAATATGTTATGCTAAGAGGTAAGTCATCATTTATATTTTAATTTATGACTATATAATTTTATAATTAATATATGAAATATAATTATGATTTATGTTTTGCTGACTTTATGCAAGTTAATACAATTATTCTTTAAACTGAGGTAACAGATAAAACTGAGATAAATGAAGTGACTGATATCTTCACAAGCTCAAATTAGAACTGATAAAAATTCAGAAAAGGCAAAAATTGTAAATTAGGTTATTCTCAAACTAAGATCGTCCACAGTGCATGGATGAACGATAGCCTTATAGAATGATCAATGGACGGAAACAAAAGTAAGATTACACGAAAGCGCTACCAAGTTCTCTATCGATATTGACGGAGAAGTGAAAGGTCTGTCTGGATTTTCTGGCATGCTAAGGTTTCTTAAAAACGATATCAAGCAGCCGTTATGACATCGGCTATTGATAATAACTGTGAGCTACTGTTACTAGGTTCATTTCCATACGATGTAAATATAGACGGTCATGTGACTGCCAGAACAAAGTCAATATCAAGAGAAAGGCAACTGTCAAGCATGAATTATTCTAAGATTTATTAAAGAATTTTCCGTTAAAATATCTTTTGCTTCTGTCCTGCACTAAAATAAATTTCAATTTTATATTTAAATTGCTCAAGTTAATATTTAATTATGATATTAAGTTACAATTAAAAAAGTTAATGAGAAATATTTCCCCACTCAATTAACTTGATTCTTTTAGATGAGCTATTCAAAATTTTTATTGAAGTTTTGAAGTTTTATCAGATTTTTTTTGGTAGATAGTGCATCTTACATTTTTTGTTTTATTACACTGTTAATAGGATGATTTACAGAAAAGATAACAAATATTTTGAACATGGTCACACAATGCCATGATCTTCACATTATTATTCGATGAAGCAATTATGGAGCACATACTAAAGCTCCCTGGGGGAGTAATCCATAATGTTTTAGCGAGTAATCATCTCATTGACATTCAAACCTACCCAGGTACTCACTTGTGCCCCTGGGTGGAGAGTTACGATGTGAATAAAGGACACAAAACGAGTAACCTACCCCAGGCTCGAACCATTGACCTTTCTTAATTGATGTATAATGCTTCACTGCTGCACCGCTTCTACTGTCGTATTTTATGAATTTACTTGGCTTTGAAAACTAAAGAATGCTAATTCATATATTGAACCTACTGTAGCAGAAAAGGAAAACAAAATTAAAACTTAATAGACTTAATATGTCTATTTGTAAAACAGAACATAAAACTATTTCACCATGTCACCACGCTGGTCGGCGGTGGACGGGCCCCGTCCAGCACTCAACATTTCCGACCAGGATTTACAGCCTCTTGACCACCACTATTATTTCAACAGTTTACAAATTGTAACAAAATAATTAGTTTACCTAAACACAATAGATAAGCTAAATTGATAGATAAAGACAAGAATACAATAAATGTTTCCATGGTTACGTTAATTGTAACTAAATACTGCACTGCCCTGCTATTCATTGCTAACTTAACAACCTAGGTCCAGTTGAGTCATAGCGAACGTCGTGGGTCAGCATGACATGGTTGCTCTGTACACATTCAAAGGTTAAAGTTGAAATCATGACCATTCAAGTGTTTTATTATGAGAGCATGGTCCGGGGCAGGAAGATTATTAAAAATTTACGAAACCTGATTTATGTTTTATTTCTTTACTTTGTTTTCAATTTGTATTTTAAGTTTTTCACTTTTAGTTATAATTGATATATAATTAATGTGTGTAAATGGACAAAAAATAAATAAATGAGTGCACATGAATCAGTGACATACACATTCATCGTGGTAATCATCAAACATGTGAAATTACGGCAAACAATGCGGCTGGGTACAGTTGGATCGATGCTTTGTCGCTGGGATTTGTTCATTATTATTTTTTAATCTAAAACAAAGCATGTCAATTATTGAATTTAATTAGGCCTACAGTAAGTCTCATCTTTATCTGTTTTGTTGCATTCCTCAAATTCTGGCCTAGACCTACCTGGGCCTAGCCTAAAAAAATCGCGTCAGCTAGCCTTGGGCCTACTCCTGCTCGACTTACTTAGGCCTTTTGGTTTTTAAGAGCTTTCACGAATACGGTGACCCCCTGGGAAAACGCGGAATGATTGCCGACCGGCACTCCAAAAGGTTGGTGACATCCCTGGCTATAGAACTTTGTCTAGGCGAGACTTTTTTAATACCCTGTTTAGCGAACCCGCCGACTGGAATTATTGATGATTTCGAATAAAAATAAAATTTTATTTTTGGCCAATTAGCGCACCTGCCACCAAAAAAAATTGGAAATTTCAGAAAAAATTAAAAAATTTTGTTACTTTTATTACACCATGCGCTGCCTTGTATGTATTTTTCTTACTAATTATATAAATTTGAAGCATTTAACCATCATAACATTATCATTACATTTACCAATAAGGCCGAAAATTATTCATGCATTTCACAGTAATTTTGTGTTTCATATAGCTGTAGCTAGTTCGAAATAGCAAGTTTGAAATGTAAATTGCGTTTACAAAAAGTTTTAATTACCTGTTTACAACATGATTTACTGGCTAGTCCAGTGTCAGATATTTGTTGATTTTTTGGTTTTTTTTTTGTTTTTTTGGAAGGAATAATTCATTGCTACTGTAAATCATCAGTGCAGAGTCTTACTCATCCTTTTTTTCAGATGGGCATTCCTGATGTTATGTACTCTCGATACATGAGAAGTCCACCTCCCCATTGGCCTCTCTCCCTCAACCTTTCTCCATCCCAATATTCCTAGAGCTAGTGTATGCTATTAGACTCAAATGAATGAGATATACTAAAAGTTCATATAGAATAAATAAAGAACCGTGCCACTGTACTATTTTTTATATGTTTATTGATTGTCAAGAATATTAACTGTCAAGCTAGTATTAAATTTTGTAGTTAAAGTTCATAAGCTCAACATAAGGAATGGTTTTTGATTTAATACATTATTAGTCATCATATATAATATTTGTTTTTCTAGGTCGATGAAAGTGAATAATATAACATTTCTGAGACTAATTATAATTCTGTCCAGCAATCGTTAATGAAAATAATAGTTATGCAACTAAACATGTTTAAAATTCATTATTTACTTTACAATAAAATGCAGTTAAAAGTGCAGTATACAATTTAATTTTATAAATGTACAACATTAAATTATAGTGTAAAGTATGTATTACTGGTTTTAGAAAAATCCATACAACCTTAATTATGAGATTATCCATAATAAGGCTGAAATCATTGTTGTAATTTAATCAATAGATTATCTTTGTGGAGAGATAAATGGCTTGTTTTAGTTCCTTAATTGCTGCGAAGCAAATAGAGTATGCCTTTGGCATATTACTACATGCTTTAGGTAATACAGATAGATGATGTCGTGAGTTTGCTTGGCTTGGCTTGATTATCTCTATGTTTCTTATTGTACAGGCTATTGAAATTGTAAGTGCCACTTTAAATGAGATCTTTTTCTCCATTAAATTGAAAATCTGATACAAATGAGAAAAAAAATGTCAAAATGGTAAAAGGGTACTATATAAGCGTGACCTCATGTTCCGTAGTAATATAATCTAAGGGTCATATGTTCAACCGAACTTATAAATTTCGTTATCGTTTTCTCTATTAAATACTATATTATTTGGCACACAGCATATAACAGAAATACTATCACCCACAAAACTGGAGGGGAGGGGGGGTGGAAGTAAAAAAAATTTTGGAAAGAGGTAAATCAACTTTCAAGTCACAGATTAAAAAAATTTTTACTACTAATTTTACTACTTTCCTAATTACCAATAATTAATTTGCTGGAAAAAATTTAAGGGTATGACTAACAAAGTATAACAAATAATATTATTTAAACATTGGTCAGTTGGTCAGGAGTATTGTTTCTTATTCATATAGGGCTAACAATGTATACAATTCTATGTTCTATGTTTTCAAAACTTAGGCTGTATTGTAGTATTTTAAGTATTAGTCATTGTGTAGAGTACTTAATAATACATAGTGTACTATTTTTCTTGAGTGTTGTTAATAAAATTGCTCGAACAACTTTAAAACCAAATATGAATTTACATTGAATGAATCAATTTCTTCCTGTTTTTTTCAAAGTCAATATGATAATAAAGGAAATATCTCTACAGATATTCTAAGTAGAAATCCAAGGACCTAAATAATGTGATTGATGCACCAGTCAAATGAATTGAAAATGTAATATTAAGTGATAATGCTTGTAACATACTTGTTACAAACTATGCCAAGGTAAATTAATTTTTATTGATACCTTGCAGTAAAAAACATAATTAGGAACGTACTAGATCCCCTAGATAGTGTGGTAATTGCAATGAGAATAAGTTAATAAGCAATATTATTTATGGCAAGTATTTTTTTTTTCATCTGGGTAGATATATTCGACATACAATCTACTAAACTGAATGGCTTCCACTTTAATTACATGAAAGTAGTGGTTTTTGGCTTTACTTTCTGTACAACGAGAAATATAAATTTATTATTTGCTAGCAATTATGCATCGTCTTTAAAAAGATTACTAGAAACTACAGTATATATTATGTATAAATATTTTATTATAAGATTGTTAAAATATATCAAGGTATTATAAGATCAGCATAATAGGAGTATACTAAATTATTAATTTATAAGGACATATTATGTAAGGTAAATGGATTATTTTGTTTGCACTGTCGATTATCTAATTCCTATTATTATTTTCATTTATCATAATATCGGTATCAACAAGTATTGCAACTGATTATAAAATTTGATTTTTAATATCTAATATATCATTGTAAACTGGTATTCAGATGAAATTGTTTTGACATTTTTTGTTGGCACCTTCATTATCATTATAACTGTGATTATCATAATAATTATGTCTATCACTATAATCTGTTGTTTTTGTTTTTTTTTAACCATGTGTCATTATGCAAGTAATTGACCATATATTTTTTATATTAAACATAGATGAATGCTTCTTGTTTGGTATTTTATAATTAACCCAATAATCCTAATTATTCTTACCTTATTTTTATAAGTGTGGTATGATATCTATACCATAAATAGGCCTATATTGTGTTACATCATTTTAAGCAAAACCAAATTATTACTGGAGCCAATATTTATACACTAGTTATTGTACTGTATTTGAAGGTTTCTTCGTGCACAGTGAATATGACCCTATCATTTATTAGCCTCATTTTAAATGATACTAGCTCATCAAGAAATTCATTGATCAATTCAAAAGTTACTAGACCAGCTCTAATCCAATCTTCACTAGCCCATTAAAATAAAAATTAGCCGAATAATTACTAGTCCAGTCTGTGTCGCTACTTCCTAATCCAATTGACAGGCACTAGCCCCCAATCTAATGTCACTATCCCAATCAAAATGTTACTAGTTTGTCCCTTGTCCCCAATCATAAATCTACAATCCTTATAATATACAGAATATTTAGTTTTAATATCTTTAATACTTTATAATAAATGTTTGTTGAAATTTTTCTCTGTATTCAGCTATGGAGATTGTTGAGAAACTGTGCAAGACAGAGGCAAATTCTGAGATCCTAATCGAGTGTCTTGAGCGAAGGTTATATGACAGAGTGGTTACGGTGCTCACCATTCACGATATCCAACTCCTCCTTGGTGCATTAGAGCTGCTGTTGGTCTTGTCAGAAAAAGGAGAAGTCACGTGTACCCATATAGTAGCATGTGATCGAAGCATCGGTGAGTCTAGAGTCATGTGACCAAACAACGAATAAGACCACCTGATGAATATTATAGTGTAATACATAACAATATTAGATTTTTCATTTTTTGTTTAAAAATCCAAGTAGATATTCTTAGATTTTAATATTAATTATGAAATGCTTTTGATTTTTTTTAAATTATTAAATTCTTTTGATTTTTTAGTTAAATGTTTATTGATAATAATAAAGTTTATTTCAAATATTATAAATTATCCATTTTCAGACGTGCTGGTTTGTCTAGTAACACTTGATGCACAGTCACTCGGCCAGGATGCTTTCATTGGTATCAAAATAGTTGACCATGCCCCGGACGGCATACACCATCCCATCGTCACAATGAATCAAGGCTCGATGGCTCAGGTGCGGGCACCCATGCCAACTCCCATGAATCCCCAACAGCAACAGATGGTGCCACAAGTGGGGGCGATTCGAACTCAGTCCACCCCGATACAGAGACCTCCACCACCGATACATATGGCTCGTGAGTATTGTAATTGTATTTCAAATGAAACGAAACTAGTGAAATCCTACTGCTTATCCTTTGCAACCTTAAACTACATTGTGTTTAGATGGGCTTTATACTCAAGGTAGATTTAAACCTATTTGATACGGTACTCGGAAAGAACACACATTTAATTAATTTATTGATAATAATAATAATAATAGTAATATTTTGGTATCAGAAGGCTTCCTTTATTATCCCCATCATTGGAATGATGGCTATGGAACACTTATTCAGCTCTCTGGGGAAGTATCCCATAAATTTCTGCATGAAATAAAATCTAGGTGGAGAGTGGTAAAATGAATACAACCATTGCACCACTTTAATTACAGCAGTTCACTTTGTTATATTGGCCTGTAATTTAATACCTTTGAGAATTGTAACATTTTCCATTCATACTCATAATTAAACAGAATCATTAATTGGAAAAAAATAAATGATAGTAAGTTCAGTTGCAAATTCTTGCTATTACATATGTAATCATTGTTTTTTTTTTATCTCTTTGAAATTACTTCTCTTCTCTCACACACAGGTTCTAGTCCATTAGCACGACCCCCATCCCAGTCACCTGTTCCAACTCCCAATTTACGTACTGTCCCTCCAAGCTCAGACACAGAAAACGAATCTTTCGCCTGCCAATGGTAAGTAAGCTTATGATTGGTTAGAAATTAGTTGTGTTACAAACTTGTGTTGTGATTTTAATATAACTTGCTTTGCAAAGGTATTGTCTGTATCTACTCTTGTCAAGCATGTTACTGACCGATGCATATTAAAAAAAAAATTATAGGGAGTAACAGTGATTGATATCTCATTTTTGACAGTCATAACAGAGATATGTCACTAATCTCTTTCCTACCACTACCTGTCAGCCTTTGTCTACATGTATCTCCATTACTAGGTATTGGTGTTTTGTTGTGTATGAAGAACATTTGACATTTAGAATAGTGCATTTGAAGCATGCCAACCCAAAAACAGCATCAGTAACCCAAAAATATATTCTTATTTCTCAACATTATCATATCATTTACTGGAATCTACTTATTTTTGCCAGTGTTCTGACTTTTCTGTAAAAAAATATACAATACTGCCAAATTCTTATGCTAATTACTCAGTTTTAACAATTAGCGACAGTACGTTGGTTTTTTTTATGGTAAGCCTCATTTACATTCATTGCTTTTTTTTATTTTCATGAACAGGTTAAATGCCTGCTATGAGGCTGCAGTGAACGGCAGGGTTGCTAGGACAGACCTGTATGCTAACTATCTCTCAGCCTGCAATAAGGCCTCACAGAGGGCTATACTCTCATCCACCCACTTTGGAAGATGTTTAAAGTAAGACTTTTCTGTTACTCGTACCTTTTGTTTGGGTTAAATACTTAATGATGTTAACAATGCCAATAAAATACTTTCCATTTTCGATATCTTTTCTCCTCTCAAAATTACTACCATGCTTATATTTATTGTAAGAACCTTAAATTTACTGGTAATCAATTAAAACATTTTTCTAGTAAAAAGAAACCATGAAAATAACTTTTTTTGTCTCTTTATTTTTTAAACTGTGACTCGTTGGATGTCAGTTATTAACTTTGAAAAGAATTTAACTAATAAAATGAATTTTATTGTGCCAAAAAGCCACGTATTTGTGGAAAATGGCACCACAGAGATTGATGAGTTGACATTATAATTATTCACCATCATCATTAACTCTATTATTAAGCAGATATGGCACATTTTACTATGTCATCTTTTATCATCTTATTAAGTTTATTCCCAAGATTATCTATTAACCTTTAAAAGTGACTGATTTTCCAAAACAAAAGTAATTGATTTGTTTGTTCTTTACAGAGCTGTCTTCCCAAAGGTAACCTATCAACGAACAGAGACACCTGAGGGACCGCAGTACCACATTTTAGGTGTCAACAAACGAGCTTTGCCCCTGCCACTGATGCCTAGCTTGCCTCAGCCATTACAAGCAGGTAAATCATCTCTATGGGCGTATTCGACTGGTTCATTTCGTTGACTACAAATTTTTGTTGAGTATTATTTCATTCGACTGGTTCATAAAATAGACTTCGTTGACAACGAAAATTAACCTAAACCAGAGTGCGTTAATCAGCATTAAGTTATTCATGTGACCAAAACAAACATGGCCGATTGGTCAGTTTAGAAACAACATTTGCGTTAATATAATTTAGACTAAATTTCAGAAAATAGAAATTTACCCACACAAAGTAAAAAAATAATTGTAGGCTAACAGAATTCAAAAACTGGATGAAAAATATTTTTTTTACGAACAACCCATACTTCCACAAACTGAAGCAATCTTGATTACACAGCGTGTATCGTGGTAACTATGCAGCCATTTTGTTTCGCCGAGTATTTACAAGTTTTCTATTCGACTGGTCATCTTTGTTAAGTAGGATTTTACCGCTGCGCAGGTGGGCGTGGTTTAACAAAGAACTACCAGTCGAATATGGCCATTGTCTTAAGGTGTTAAGGCTCTGTTCACACTCGCAGAGCTTTTAGGTGACAAATATCCATGATTTGCACACGTATATGATGATGTCATATCGCGCACATATATGGGCTAATCATGTCTAGAGAGCCGCACGCCGTGTCTTTCAACAAATCCCTCTGAGTGCTAGATGGCTCGATGCGGTTGCAGTCTGAATGGATAATCATTAAAAATCTTGGCGTTTTGTTCTCCATCGAATCGTGTCGGCCGATTACCATCAGGCACGATGAGCACCCGCCTTTAGTCACATGTGACTTGCTATTGTAGACAAATTATTATAATTGTGTGTTAGCTCATCATTAGTTGTTGAATGAATTACAGTTTGTATAAAATTATTAGTAATAATAGTAATAGTAACGGCTGTGTATTATACAGTCACTATGCGCTTATTTATTTATTTATTAAACTTTCTTTATACTGGATGGCACGCTCAATGCAAAGGCACTGGTGTTTCGTTGTGGTCCAGTTACAGTAAAATAATTTTTTTTTAAAAAGAGATAGGAAAATAAAAATAAAAGGACTTAATTTTTTTTTAAATAGCTTGAAACTCTAAGTCTTTAAAGAACAAAAATTAAAAACTGAGAAAGATATTAACAAAGAGACAAAACCAAAGAGACAAAACCAAAGAGACAAAACCAAAGAGACAAAACCAAAGAGACAAAGAGAAGACAGCAGAAGGAACCAATATATACTATGACATAACAAAAATATAAAGGATATTAATGCTAATATACTGGTGTTATACCTGACTTCATAACTTGTATTTACATTTTAGATGTTGCTTCTCAATTCTATATCTCTACCAGGTTCCAGCTATAATTTCTCATAGCAATGTTGGTTGTAAATTTTCTTTTTAATTTATATATAGTATGTTATGTATGCAATTTATTTTAAGTGATTTCACATCACCAAGACTTAAGATAGGCTTTTAAAAGCTCATTCCACTGCATTCAGTAATAAGTACAGGATTACCTTTATCTTTTCTTTATGTACAATATTCATCATATGTATGTATGTTTTTGTTTCTTATAGGAATTCAACAACGGCCAAATTTTGTTTCCAGAGTTGCAAGTGGATCACCCCAGATAACACCTAGTCCACCTCTAAGATATCCAGCGACACCCCAGTCTCAAGGCACATCCCAGCCAGTTCAGTACTATGCATTGCCACAAACGAGGATGGTTAACCCGTTGATAGGCCAGCCTAGAATGCCCCAAGGAATGCCAGTCAATGTACTCTTCAAGTCTGCCCCACAGACACCACAGATGGTTCAACAGAGACCGGTTATGACGCAGCAAGGCTGTGTACAGCAGCAAGGCATGATCCAGACTATAATAAGACCAGCACAAGGTGGAATGACCCAACAGGTCACAATGGTACAACAGCCAGGAATGGTACAGCAGGCTGGAGCACCACCAAACCAAGGTGCCATGGTGCAGCAACCTGGTATGGTCGTACAGCCAGGTGCAATCCAACAACCCACGAGCAATTCTCAACCTTGTAACACGCAGCAACCAATGTTACCAACAACCAACAACCTTGTTAGCATGCAACAGCCAGGTGCAAACCAACAGTTGGTTTTTAATTCTACTCCTACCACACAAAATCAGATACCAACACCAGTAGTATCACCTTTGCCCAGTGTTCCTTCTCAGGAGGCACCAAGCCAACCAAAACCACCTAGCCAACCTGGCACCACCCCAAAAACTCCAGCTAGTAAGAAGCCTGCACGGACTGCATCGAATACACCGCAGAAACCTGAAGGAGGAAGCCCAAAGAAACCTGGGACAATAACAGGTGTTGGAACACCTCACAAGGCCCAAGCTCCAGAACATCCCCCAATTCAAAATGGTGAGGTCCAGATTGAGAGGGTACCGAATATTCATGTTCAACATATACCGCCTGGTATGAATATCCAGTTGGCGAATTCTCAAGCACCGGGAAAAGTCATGGTTCAAGGATCTGGTGTTATTACTATTTCCCAGGGTTCAACAGAAACTGTGACCTCTCAACAGCTCCCTGGATCATCACCGTCTGCTTTACATCAAGCGTTGTGTGGTAATCAAATACCTCCCTCTACAGTTCAGGGGGACCAACTGCAAATAGGACAGCAACCAGTGCAGCATCAAGCAAATGCAAATATTCAACCAATACAACAAAAGTTACCTACGCTTATCAGTCAGCCCCAACAGCAAGTAAAACCTGTGCCCATCCAACCTCATGTACAAAGCCAACCATTCATGCAAAACATTCAACAGCAGCAAATAATTGGTCAGATTTCTTCAACACCACATCAGACAATTCTGTCAAAGCCTACATTTGTTCAAACAAACCAAGCAGTGAATCAAAACACATTAGTAGCAAGACCAATGCAATCATCCCCAGTAAGCCAGTCCTTGCACATTCAAAATCAGCAAGTTGTCTACCAAAGACCTATAGCCCCTGCCCAGCCATCAGGACTATCTAGATATCAAGCAATTGCACCAAAGAGACCAAATCCATCACAGAGTCCAAAACAAACTGGTGACTCCCCGCTGATCAAAAAACTGTTACAGGCAGGGCCTGGTCTGAAGGCCTTTGTCTCAAACCCAAACCTTTTGAACAGACAGCAACAGCAGCAGCAGCATCAAACTGTTGTACAGCAAGCGGGTCAACCCCCAAACCAAATGGTACTCCAGCATAACTTCCAAATGCAAGGACAGCAGCAAATTGTTCTCAACCAGCAAATGATCTTTCCCAATCAACAGTTCATTCAACAGCAGTCCCAATCAGTTCCATCATCAACTAACCGGGTTATACTAAGCAAGCCTCCAGTAAGCCAACCTACCATCATGATCACCCAGCCGCAGATTGTTCTAACTAGGCCACCACCTTCATCTCCTCATGCTCTCCAAATTCAAATGCATCCGCAGAAATCGCCCCAGCCTAAAGAAGAGAAGGAACCAATTCTTGAAGATCAGGAAAAGAAAATTGAACTTATTCGAAATGAGGGTTACAGGAAAGGAGATTCAAATTCCACTGTTGAAAAAATGGAGGTAGACCCTTCTAGTAATCAGAATGGTGACGTAAAAATGGAAGACAATTCTCAAGCTAGCGATGAGTTAGAATCCAATGATAATGATGAGGAATTGATTAATGGTACTGATAACCGAAGCGTGTCAACCACCGATAGCGGTATTAATGGTAATGATGATGAAGGGAAAGAAAAGATAGAAACATTATTGCAAAACGGACCAACAAAATTAACGGACAATATTTTAGCAGCACCGGAAAAAATACAAAAAATTCTAAAGAAGGGTGCAAAGGCTATAAACGCATTATCAAAAGAGAATTTATTAAATGGTTACAGACCGGAAATGGAAGTGGAACTTACAATACAAAGAGTTGAAAAACCAAAGACAAACGGCAACCCTCTGAAACCTGTAGATAGTTCGGATCCAGGAATAGAGAGCCGGCCTGGTGCCGTAAATAATGATCTAAAAGCAAATGATATCACAAAAGGCATTTCGAACGGTATTCCAAACGGTGGGATTGGCTCCCCGTTGAGTGAGTGCAGTGCCGATGTTGATATACACGGCACAATAGACAGTAAAGTAGTAACACTTGAAAGTGAAAGAACTTTACCCAGTGAAAAATCTGTCGTTGCATCTAATAACATTCCAAAGGCTGCTTGTGATGACGGTGGAGCAAGTCCGTCGCATGCAGCATGCAATACTGAAAAAACCTCTGAAGGAATAGAAACAAGGAAATTACACGGTTCACACACGCCACCTTTGAACAGAGAGAAAGATAATTCATCAGACACAATTGACACCAGCCAATTACAAACTCAGGGAACCAACTGCCAATCGGCTGTGCCTGCGAGCAGTAGAAAATCAAAATTGCCATCTGCGGACAATGGCCAGATTGATGGTAAGGGATTGAAGCGTCTTCTGGAAACAGCCAACAACATTCCAGTTTCCACCATTCCATGCAAGATTGGAGTTGCCACGACTGCGGAGAGGAGAAGGAGACGTTCGTCGTCTTCATCGACAAGCAGTAAAAAATCTACAAGTCGGAAGTCTTCGATGCCAGCCATTGGACTGTATCTGTGTGAATGGAAAGGCTGTAAAAAGTAGGTTTACATATCAATCTGTTACTTTAAAAAATTAATACTCTACTTACCATTTTGTTTTTACTTGTAAAATTGTTATGAATTTATATATAATCTGATCTCTAGTAGCATTGTTGAAAAGAAAGAATAAATGTTTTATGTTCTGGTGGGTGGTACACAATATCCAAATATTCAATTTTATTTATTTTAACTAAAATTTCATTCTGCTTAGTTCCATTTGCTGCTCTCTTTGTATTTTAGCTGGAGGGCTGAAGTGCAAGTATAAAGTGCAGTCTTTCGGAAGAGACATTTAGGCCTGTGTGTAATATTGTTCATGTGCACATTAAAGAACACAGTACACTCTTCGGAAAAGAGTAAGGTATTGTCTCCTGGTGTACTGCTCAATCACCACCAGAAGAATCCCACTGGAAGTATGTCAATGGACATTCATGGGTTATCTTTGATGTACACACCAAATAAATCCAATGCGTTTAATCTGCTAATATATTTTTCAATTATTATTTTTTCGTATTTTCTTAAAGATCTTTCAACAAAGCCAAATCTTTGTGGGTGCACTCGAGCAAAGCGCACGTAACTTCAGATTCATATCGAGGTGTTTGCGAGTGGAATGGCTGTGACCGTGTTAAACGTCAAGTTTGGTCCTGTGTCAGCCACCTCCAGGATAAACACTGCACAGAGGTAGCTCTGGCAGCCGCCTCCGCTAAGAGGACCGAGCAGATGTTGAGGCAGACTCCCTCCACACCATCAAGCCATACGTCGTCGCCTTCCCCCCAACCTGCTCCAGTGGTTTACAATGCGCATAATGCATATCATGCAATACGACGAAGTTTGCACGTCCCGGCCTTAAAAGATTTACTGGTAAGCGTGCAAACTGCATCATTTATTGTTATTTCATAGATAGAGGTCTCTCGAATTTGAAAATGTTCTAGAATATGAGGCATGCCTTCTTAAAACCAGCGTACTGTTGTTATATGTTAAACTGAGTAATTACCATAAGAATGTGACAGTATTGTATACTTTAGTACAGAGAAACCGTAATACTATTACTCATAACTGCAGCAATAGTAAAGTCAATTCCAGTAAGATGACCCATAATTTTAAAGCTTACAATAGGGAAAATAGAAGTATATTAAAAAGTCAATTTTCATTTTTTGCTCAGTGATGCTGATTTTTGGATGGCAAGCCTTATATATTAATACACTTGAATTATTAGCAGTATGACTTAGACTTTTGATAAAGATCATGAACCTATGTTAGATGTTAGTGATAAAGCATCTGTATTTGTACTACTGTATGTGCAAAAAGTCCTGAACTCAAAAATATGAAGTGCTCCTTATATTGTATCATTCTTAGTCTCCTAATGTTTATTTAACTTTTATTACTGTATTTATTTTTTTAATAATTACAGTTACATAGAATTGTGTACTTTTGTTTGTTATCCAAGTGTTTGCATTTTAAAAAGTTATATGTAATGTTCGTAATCCTTTATTTTAAAAAAATATTATTCCAGGGTGAACCTGAAGGACCTGTTACCAAAAGTATTCGTATTACTGCAGCATTGATTCTCAAAAATATAGCAAAGTATTCATCAGAAGGAAGAAGGTAACACCAGTTCTTATATATTTTTTTTTCAATTATATACTACATGTAATTATTATTTTTTTTTTCGATTTTTATCACCCATAAAAGACTGACCTTTAAATTGATGTTTATTCCAAATCATCTTCAGAGTGACAACTCTGTAATAAAAGTCCATATTACATTTATTTTTAAAAACATTGTTCAATTCCCGATAGTAGTAAGCAAGCCATTTAAATGGTGCTATTTTATAATTGATCAAAAGCACAAAGAATTAACTAAAATTACTTAAACTAAAACAAGAAATTAAATGAAATCATTCAATAGTTAATTTCAAAAACATGTAGTTACTGAAGGAAGGGACATTTAGTAGTCATCTTTGCATCCAATAAATTGGTTCGAGAAGGAAAAAAAAAAAACAGCTTGCATGCATTTCAAGAACAAGTCACAGTGACATTTGCAACACGAGTCAGATTTCACGAGTATTATCACCTGACCAGTTGTGATATGGGATAATGATATTGAGCCACTTTTTCATTACAAATTGAATATCCTTCCACATTGGTTTTTGCCTTTGAATAGTTCTGAAAAATTATCATTTGCATTCTTCATCGCCATCATTTAATCTTTTATATGTTGCATTGTACATATTGTAATAAAATAACAATAGACATTTTTGGAAAAGCTTATTTAATTTTGTATAGAGTGTGCATAATACTCTATGTTAATGTTAAAGTATACTAACCAAGTTTGCAGTGTTCATAAGCATACTTTAATATAATAGCAAAGCAATTTGTATTTTGTTTCTTGTCATTATTTGTCCTTATTCAGTATGCAATTGGAAATTTGGGCAATGTGCTACTAATAAAAAAAATACTTTGTTTAGATTATGCATAATACTACCATACTAACCTTATCAATTACATTGAGCATTACTTGCTGCGTATTATGTTACAATATGGAACTCTAATTTGTATATTTTAAAAGCATTGCTCATCAGCATACTTAAAACATGTTACCGTTTAATAAAAACAAAAAAAAAAGAATTTTGTATTGTTACAAGTATATTTAATATTCTGTGTTAAAATATAGTGATGGAAAACACATTTGCATTCACAATTTTTGAAAAAAATGTATATTCATTATTGCATCAACACAATTTGCACTTTTGCACACTTAATGCCCTCCTAGTAAATTCCAATAATTGTATTATTGCAAACTTTCAACAATTTACTAAATTTCCAGTGTTGCATATAAAAAAAATCGAGTGTTAAAATATAGTGATGGAAAACACATTTGCATTCACAATTTTTGAAAAAAATGTATATTCAATATTGCATCAACACAATTTGCACTTTTGCACACTTAATGCCCTCCTAGTAAATCCCAATAATTGTATTATTGCAAACTTTCAACAATTTACTAAATTTTCAGTGTTGCATATAAAAAAAAATCGACAAATTATGTTACAAAGAGTTAAACCTTTGGGATGATTAGATGAATAAGAACAAGATGATGTGGTTTTGAGATGCACTCAAGATCATAGACGCAAATCTGGATGTATATGATACCAATCTTAGAATAAACAAGAGCTTATTCTTACTTTTCCTTGTCAATCAGAGCTCTGAAAGTAGCGCAGCGTCTAGGGCAGTCCAGGTGCCTCGCTATCACAACGATATCCGCTCCATGGATAGTGGCTTACCGCACCACCATGTGAGCGCGAATCAATCATACAGAACCTTAACGGCATTAGTCATTTGTAGAACCTGGGCACAACAAGTGTATGCATTTAGTAGTAGTATCATTAATATTTGTTTGAGTGATCTGTAGAGAGACAAATCTCATGTATATGGATTATGGATTTATGTTGCCACTTGAAAAAAAAATTCAGATTGAGACAGAGAAGAGTAGGGGAAGGTCAAACATTGGTTTGGTTGTTGAACTTTTCATTTTGGCTTTTCTAATCAATTTTAGACAATACAGCCTTTAAGTTTCCATTGCTGGTGTTTTCATGAAAGGATTTTGGTCTATTTGAAATTTCAAACTTATTATAGTTACAATTTTGATAAATTTTCCTCTTTATACAGTTTTTAAGAACGTTTATATTTTTCTGCTTATTGTGTTTAAATTTTGATAATTCATACTTTTATTGGACATTCATGTTTCCTATTGTTTAAGGTTTTATTTATTTATTTCATTTCATCAGACTAACAGCGAATCATCGCCACTAACTGGTTGGTAAAATATATAAAATTTAAATATATCAAATATATAGATGAAAGAGTACAAAAATCTCACCTATTCAAATGATTAATAATAATAGAATGAAATATAGACAAACTATTGTGAAAAATGTCAATATTAGAGGTTAAAATAAGAGAATTATATTGAAGAGAATGTCTAGAAATAAAACTACGTTTACAGACAACTCTACAAAAGGGGACATTAAAGGTAAGACAGGAACGAAGACTTCTAGAATTAACATGCAAACCAAACATATGTACAAGATCAAAACTAAAGTACGAGTTAACACATTTATAGAGAAAAACCATATCGTGAAATAAAAATCTATTCCTAGGACACATTAATTTACAAGGGCGATTAAAACATTTTTCAAAAAACCTAATAAACTTAAGATGCATCCTATCGATGTGAATTAACTGAGATTCAGATGCAGAACTAAAAATAACACAGCAATATTCAAATTGAGAAGTAACTAAATAACGATATTTTTATTTTTTTTGCATTTATGTATTAAGTAACAGTGTACATCAATTTTGATACTTCGAGTTTGCAAATATGTAATATTGCAAATTACAACAGATCAATCAATCAATCATTTTTTTTTATGCAATAATTGTTGATTACTTATATGGGCTCTTACTTATATAAGGATCTTCATCCCAATTTATTAACTGTTATCTTCATCTATATTAGTATTGATTATATATATAATCTCAATGTTGTCAATTTAAATTGCATTGTTTATGTTTTTAATTTATCTATTTTTTAAGGAATCAGATATCATCATAATTGTGTAAATTTAACTAGGATAGAATTATAGTTACTGTACTAGATGTCTTATAGATTATTGTAAATCTTGAAACTTTGTAAGTAATTTTTATATTGAATACCTTTGCAAGTGTATTATTGTTAACTGTTGTTCTTTGTTTTGTGAATGTTGCGTTTTGATTCAGCTTAGTTTTTGTTAGTTTGACGGAATTCAGTGCAATGCTACAATGTCAAATTTTTGTTGTTTTAATAGTAAAACAGAGTGAGTGAATGAAATAATGTATCCTGTTGGGCCATTTAAAGCCCTGTCCAAACTATCAAATGCTGTTTGACAAAAAACTGTGACAAGCCTGAATATGGTCGTGATGTCATCACATCATGACCATATATATATATGCACATCATAACTTTTTGTCAAAGAATATTTGCTTCCTTGGTCTCACCACTTTTTGTTTGCTAATGTATTGTAAAAAAGATTCACCGTGTGAAAATAAATTTTTGACTTACTCCCCTTTAATGTTTTTTTTTTTTTTTTTTTTTTTTTTTTTTTTTTTTTTTATTTTTTATATTGTAGTATTTTACGTCGGCATGAATTTCACCTTGCAAGAATAGTAATCAGCCAGGCAGAGTCGTCATCCACACTAGCGAAATGTCTCGAGGAAATGCAGAAAGACTCATGACAAAAGTATACCACCACGCAAAAATGTCATCTTCCACTTCACGCATATCAAGAATCCCACAGCGCTCTCTGTAGGTTTAATCAAAAAACATAACTATAATTCTAAGAACATATCATCCAAGGAAAAAAGTGACAAACCAGAATGGAAAATGTACATTTCTTAGTGTATATTTTGTCGTATTCTTAGTTGTGTGTTTTTCTTCTGTTGACGGTTTCTTTCCCCAATACTTTGTATTTAATAGGATAAGATGTTTTCTATTGGAGTTTTGAAATAATTATTAAAAGAAAGGGAAGATGCTGCTGGAGTTGCCTGAAGAGTGGTAGTCAATATTCACGGCTGTTAAATTATTTCAATCAATCCATATTTATGACAACCTGGCAATTATTTCCTTTGTTTAATGTTGCATTCTAGTGCACCCCTAATCATGGAGATCACACATTTACAAATCGTGAAACGGGGATTGTGCCAAGTCTTGATTTTGAAGAGGTAACAAGAATACCAACTTTAATGAGTAGGTGGGAATGCATTATTATTGCGCATCTGAAATATTTTCATTCACGCTTGAATGCATTTCATGTTGTGATTACAGTTGATCACTGGATATGTACGGTTTTCAACTGTGTACTAGAATGCTGCATTGTTACTGTTTTGTTCAGTTTTGAAATCTGAAATTTAGCCATGATTACCTGTGCTAAATTTAGAAAGGGAAAATATATGTAATTCTTTTTTATATTTACATATTACATGCATATAGAAATGTATACCTTTATTTATTTATATTTATATATGTGTATAATGTGTGAATTAATGTATTTTTAGTGAAATGAAGGTTATTATTGTAACTTTTTGTTTACTTTGAGCTATGAAATCCCCTGACTGGCCTCCTTTCCTTACTCCCTTTCCCAGTGTTACCTACCCCAATATTTTTTTTTTAAAGAAAGACTGGTTCTAATAGGAAAGTGACAATCAAAATGTAGCTCGATAAAGTGACCTGTTTATGAAAAAGCTCATAGCCTTGTTCCTGTGAAGTAAATAATTTGAAATTGTCCATCACATGCGACATACAAATCATTCTTGTGTTTCTTTTTGTATACAATATTTTCTGGTTTGTGAATGCTGTTATGGGTGTGTGTGTTTCGCTATAGGTGTGCCAGTGTTGCTGTGGGTGTGTGAATGATGCTAGGGGTGTGTGAGTGATGCTACGGGTGTGTGGGTGTGTGTGTTATACCATTTATGCTATGATTTGTCTATTTCTAATTTGTATAGAGAGTGATATGTACATAAATATTTAAGAAAAAAATTGTTACTTTAGATAGCGGCAGGGAAAATTTGGGGATTTAATGTACAGTTTATAAAAAAATGCTTTGAAAAAAATTTCATTTTGAATTATTTCTTTGGAAGATGCATCAGTTATTTCTATAAAAACAGTTTCTGTTTTATTTATTTTTTAATTTTTTTTTTGTGCATTTATAAATTTTGCCGTAAAAATGTTAGACATTATTTGGAAACCAACATTGCTCAATTCAGGCATTCCTTTGTATTCCCCATATGGTATCTTAATATGCATTGGCAAATTTTTTTTTACAGTTTTGATATTTTCCAGGATGTGTATACAGAAGAAATAAAAAAAAATTATCTCTAAATAGATCAATTTATGTTTCCACACTTCCTTTTAAAAATATCATGTTCCATCCATGTCACTCCTTCAAACAATGAAATTGGCCCTCAAACCCACTCCATTTGCACAAATTAAAAATGTGATTTAGTACTCTATGATCATGGAGTTATGAAATTAATTTGATAGCTCCGTGCTATGATGCAACATATAAAATATTTATGGTAGGATTTTTTTTTTATTTGTAGATATTTTTATTATCATCTTCACAAAGTCTAATGCTAGGCATACACTATTAGATTTTTGTATGTCAGATTCAACAATATTTGGTCAGAATTTTGTGTGATAGTCTGTGCTTGTTTAAAACATATCTGATCATACAGATCATTTGTGTACATTACTTCACTGTCTTTTGGACAATTCTGATCAAATATTTCTGTTAAATGTAACAGACAAAAAATTGTTCATGTGTGCCCATTAGTGTAATCAGTGACTATTACTTTGTTTTTTAGAATTCAGTTTGTGTAACAGTATTTATTTTCAAGAATTCAGAATGAAATTTGTGCTATAATTTAATTATCAATTTATTTGATAAATTGCGGTGCTTATATCAAGCGATATTACAGCAGCCAGGAATTTAGAATTTTAATTTTTTATTTATGTTTTATGTTTTCCCCTAAACAAATCAGCAATATACTGATTGTTCAAATAGTGAAGTTTCGGAGCCCAATTGAATGATACCGAAATACAAAAGAATAAATGATACCAATTTTGAATTGATTGCAACTCAAATGTTCAGATAAACTGACAAACAGTAGATGCAACTAAACTTTCTGTTTATTAACGTCATAGAAATTGTAAATATTCTAGTCAATATGTCTTTTGTTGTTATCATTTGAATGTCTTTAATTATTATTATTCTTATTTTCTCTTCTTTTTACTTCTTTTTTTTCAACTTCCAGAACTCTACGTGTACATTGTACATAAGGTTGTTTTTGTTTTTTTTATCGTAACATGATGTACCGTATGTGGACAAATTGTATTTAAGGTATAAACCAAAACGCCAGATTCGTATGAAGTATATTCACATAAAATGAGACTACGTTATTAATTGAGGAGTGACACGTGTCACTAATCGACTCTTGTTATTTATTTCGAGAGTCTAGTATTATGATCTTTCATATTAGCACTAGATTTGTTGTACCTGTATTTATTCCAATGTAAAATGGCATGATAGACCTATTTGTAGGTCAATTGTCTATTTGTGAAATCCAAGAAATAAAATGCCATTGCATTTTTATATCTTGTGAGTCCGTCTTTTGCGGATGATTGTCAAATTCTTCTTTCTTTTCTAATGGTATTTTTGACAAGTTAAATTTTTGAATGAATTACTGAACGTAGATAATTTTAGTACTTTGACCTTTGGGTCAGGGTAATAGACATCTCTTGAGTCAATTTATTAGGGAAAATAAAATGAGAATTTGCACCATAAGTTGTTTGCATATTCATTTATTTTTGTTTATAGAAATAGAAAAATAACTTGTATTCACAAGGCCCAGTAAGACCAGTGGCGTATCTAGGAGTCTGAAAATGACATGGGACGTGAGTATTTTTGGGGAATCCCCATCACCCAGGGCACCCCACTTAAATACGCCACTGCTTATTGTACCTATGGTCAACGGAGATATAAAATACATTTTTATATTATCTCTCCATTTTGTGTTCATATCCTGTTTTACCTATAATGTTTCAGGGTTTAAGTTTTCAGTGGTGTAAAGAAAATGTTGGGGCCTTTGTCAATACAGTATTACATAGGAAAGTTTTGAGATAAAATTGGGAATTGCATTGATTTAATTTGCTGTGAGTCAAGGGACGAACAGCAAGAAAATTTTGTGGACTTTTTCAATATTGCATAGGGAAAGTTTTGAAAATTTTCCCTATGAGAGCAAACCTAGCTAGTTAATGCTCTCAATTAGGCGACACTTTTTTCACCTTGTTGTAATAAAAATAAACTTATTTTTTGAAATTTTTACCTTTATTCGAAATCATCATTATTGGATGGCGGCGGGTTCAAATCATCATTATTGGATGGCGGTGGGTTCGGTAAAAAAGGTATGAAAAAAGTCAAGCCTTAGACTAAAGATTGTTAGTTGGTACTTCGAGGACCGGTCTCAAATTACAGGGGTCTCGGAATTAGAATTCACAATTTTCGGGTATGCAATATGATTTTAAAAAGAATATCTGTATTATATCATTTTTATTTTGCCAACGTTTTCCCTCAATTTTAAAAATTTTACGTCAGATTGATTTGTTTAACTTAATAGTATACACACGCATCAATACGGTAACGGCCGTCTGTTTCTCAGAGACGTACGTTTTTGTGTTCGTTCATTAATGTACCATCTCCACCACAACTATGATGATCATCGTCGCCGTCACCATGTACACCCTATTGGCAATCTTAATGACTGTCATACAGGCAATGATTTCATGGCCGTAGTTGGTTGTAGCGGGAAATTTGTTCCACTAACTAGGAATCCATTTGTCCGGTTGCGATTGCGGCTCCGTTTGCGGTGCGGTGCGTTTTAAACGAGAGTTAGTGCGGGTGCGTTGCGTCTCCGTAACCGCTGCGATTGTTTTAATCGCTCCATTGACCGATTCATCCCTTTTGACTTTAAGCTGGTTTTCCACTAAGCTAATTTATTCACGCAAATCCAAAGCGTCGACTTATGCACATGCGCATTCACATTCCTATCGGAGTTTCTGTGAAGCGAAAAATGCACAACTAATCAGAGCTCAGTGAGTGAGCCGACGCTTTGATTCGTGCGAATAAATTCGCCAAGTGAAAAACCATCTTTAGCCCGCCGTATGGTGTGGTGAATATGCAAAATTAAAAACGCACTGTAAATACAAACGCAGCCGGACAAATGGATTCTTGGCTTAAAGTGACCATTAGGTTTTTATATGGGTTTAGTTCTGCATTCTCAAATTTCGCAACCTTCCCTCCCCCAGGCTGAAAACCACTTGAGCAACTCATTCTAGGTTCATTGCATACTGTATTACTAAAATCGATTAGGCCTATACTATTAATATTGTTATCGCACCATACAGGCCTAAGTACCATATAGAAAAAGCACCATATATAGAAAAAGGCATAACAATCGGCAAAACAAAAATTATGAAAGAAACGCAAGATTAAGTTCTGTCTTCTAATTTACAGTATTTTAGATATATACTGTAGCCATGGACACCCCTAAGAATTCTTAAATTTTAGCACAGATAACCGGAAACACCGGAACTATCTATAAATATCGGTATGCGATTAAATCGCCGACATTGTCAGGAATCGCAAATTGGCTCCCATTTTAATACCAATTATTTTGAAGGTACAGTGTGTTGGCCAGTTCTAAACACCTTCATATAAACAAACATGAACAAAAACTGCAAGTTAATATAAACTTTTATTCATTAAAAAAAACTGTTGTATAACAGTTTGATTTTTATTTTGATCATGTCTCTAAACGAGCATTCAACATTTTTTTTTCAAACTTGAGTATAAAATTTAAACAAACTTCCAGTGCATACAACATATAATACTGCCGTAAAACTGACAATAACAAAGATTGGTAACGACAAATATCAAGAGAAATTTCGATTCAATGATACTCTAGGTCTACTTCTCACCCACTAAAAGGTGTAAAGTGTTCACTATAGGCATAGCAAAGTATATCGCGTTTTCACGAGAAAATAAACGCAGTAAACGTCATGCCTAGGCCAGTGACCAAATTCGATGTTCAGTGCCACCCACTTAAATATCTCCCCTTGTGTATATAAGTGGTAGTGACGACACTTCTTAGCGGAGTGAGAACGGTGCAAGTGTAGGCTATTTTATCGGCAAGATAACTAACGGATCGATGTACTTGTATACTTTGGTCTAAAAATAAAAAATACTATTCTACAGAATAACTGCTGACCTAGATATTTCTAGATTGTAACCCGACCACAATACTCGATTTAGCAAATGACGTTTTAGAAGTTCATGTGATTCTCAGCAGGTATCGGACGAACGTCACTTTTCTTTTTGTCATTGATGATTTATTAGGCCTACAACAGCTGATTCGATCGAAAAATATTGTAACGTTCAATGCTTCATACAGTGGTGCGCAAATTACAATTACGAAAATGTTCGTGCTGTTCGACATTTGTGCTCGAGTTTAGTGAAACAATTTGTCTGTACAAAGAAATGATAATTTAGTTCTGGAGGGCTAACATTGCATTGTTGTATTTGCTGTAAAAGTGTATGGGAATTATTTACGTACGTTTTATTACTATACCAGCAATTATGAACATAGTTTTTAAAGATGAATAGGGATTTTTCGAAATCACAAAGTTACGCATCAGAATATGCCGAATTAGCTCCGCCTACTTTGAAGTATGTATGTGTATGAATTATGCACATAACTTTTTTTGGACGTTAAATTGACCGACTTTCCATCATCTTAACAACCTAGTTTACATCATATGTTACGATTTCGAAAACTTATTATTAAAGCCTGGTTGATAAAACCATTAGATTGGAACAGTATCCGATCGACTGTTTAAGCGATTTTATGGGGAAATTAATTATAGAAAACTCTAACACACTTTAAAAATATTTGCCCTCATTAGTTTGGGCACCTAACAGCTTTCGGTTAATCATCTCCTCCTCAATTCGAAGTCTCTTCCGGTCAACCTCTAAAATGTCAATTTCTATATTGATGCGGCATCTCTCCAGCTCGATCTTCTGTTTGTGAAGATACAACAGATCTTGCTGGAAACGTACCGAATCCGGCTCGATGTTTTCTGTGGGGTTTTCTGTGGGATTTTCTGTTATGCTATTTGTAGCTGGTCCTTCCTTCGGGAGAGTATCGTCGGAAGTTCCTGTACCCAAATTCGTCTTCTCTGTCGAGTCTGCTGCGTCTGATGGGTATTCGAGTTCTGCTACGAAGCTCATGTACTTGCTAGATGAATTATAAAAAATAAATACCAACGTTACAATTTTCAATGACATAATCAAAAGCTTGTAAAATTCGTGTTATTTCAATGCTATTGATTGTAAGTGAATTATGCCTTGTCATAAAAGATGAGATTTGCGTACCGCAACATATGCCGACTAACAACTCCAGGCGAAGAAAACTCCCCAAAACCTTTCAGGAGGGGTTACAATCACTTTCCGGCGGCTACACTTTTTGGCCTAGCTAGACTACAAATTTAGCCTAATATTATAGGCCTATCAAGCATGTATTTACTGTTTATTTAATCTCTATTTTTGTTATTTGTATTTGAGCCTATGCAGATTTTTTTTGTATGTTTTACAAGACAATAACAACCATTTCTGTATTCCGAAGTCACCCAAGTAGGACAAGGCATAGTTAGTCAAAGCGGGAGCATGCTTGTTAGCATGCTTACTTACATATTACATATTTACTAATAAGTCCATTAGTTTTAAGATACTGTATTATTTTTCCTTAATCACATTAATTACATATATATATATATATATACATATATATGTATATATACATATATATATATATATGTGTGTATATATACATATGTATATATACATATATATGTATATATAGATATATATATACACATATATATCTATATATATATGTATGTGTATATATATATATATGCATGTATATATATGTATATATGTATACATGTATATATGTGTATATATGTATATATGTGTATATGTGTATGTATATATGTATATATATATATATGTATATATATATGTATATAATATAATTTATTATACATATATACCTTTGAACTGCATCGCAATCAGTTACGTCATTCGTTCTTGTAGCAGCCACTGCAACTGATGACGATTCGTTTGTTTGGTCATATGGGGAGATTGTTATCTCTTGCTTCAGCTCACAATCTACAGATAAAAACGGAAGTAGTATTTCTGTAATTCAGTTCTTCACTTGTATTTTTGCTGCTGCAGTGGCGGATTCAGATATTTTTGCCGGGCACAAGTGACAATTGATATGGTCCGAGGGAAGGGTTGGAGTGTTTCCCTACCTGTTGCGCTTTAGAGGTTTAACAATATTAATCTCAATCTAAATGGTTTCACACCTGTCTCTTATACACATCTAGATGTGTATAAGAGACATCAAATCTGTAAAATTGTCACATAAAGTTAATAAAGTAGGTGAAATATTTATTGTTATTTTATGTAGAAATTATTTATTATTGTATCCTAATCCGTGGACTTAACATTGAAATGTTTAATAAATTTTAATGAATGGGGCAACATAGGCCTAGGCTTAATAATATTTCGATAAGTAGACGAAAATTGAAATTATTTATTATAGATTATTGCTTCATTATTCCTATATAAAGTTTAGAATTTATATAGGGGCCTACGATACCAATGAACAAATTCTTTGATTTCATTAAATTTATTACAGAACGAACTCAAACCAACAATCACGATTTGTTTTTAATGATTTAATTGATTTATCGTCTAATTCCTTCCTGATAATTCGTAGTTTTGAATTTTAAATTTAATTAAAAATCACAAACATTACCAAACAAAACACATGCGCATATGGGTAAAAAAGAAAGATAATGTATTTTTGCTTGTTAGTAGACTTGTCATGTTAGTCTTGACCGACTATATACAGTTCTCCTAACTAAACCGTAAACGTAGCATGCCGTGTTTTTTGGTTTTTTTTTATATTATGTAATGCCCTTGCTTGACAAGCGTATTTGCGTGTAACAAAGTGTTACAAAATTTGTAGATAGACGCGTGGCTTGTTGTAGAGAGGTTGTAGAGTACTGTACAACCAAAGTACAAGTGCACTCTTTGAGATCAATATGGCGGACAAGAATTTTAGTTATTATTCACTGTTAAAGTTTTCAGTGATAGTTTGATAAATGCCGAGGTAGATATTTTTTATTGATATTCCAATAACTAGGACTTAGAATAACGACAACTTTTATTTGATTGTTCAAGTTGAGAAGGCTATTTTCACTTTGAAATTCGCTTGGTAGACGATTTTTCAATGAAATATTCGTTATTGCTTTGTTAAAAATACATAAGTTAAATATTTACAATACATAGCACTAAATACATTACAAACGATGCTGGTCAAATACAGGTCTAGTCTAAGCCTAGGTTTTAAAAAGTCAGACTTAAGAAGAGGCCTATTATTAGGCCTATGTTGCAGCAGGCAACTAGGCTAGAGAGAAAACAATTACATACAGTAGTATTCTGTTCCAGGCCTAAGGGCCTAGGCCTGAAAACGTCATACAATTCTTGAAATAACATTCATTTTAATAAAACAAATATAAATGGAGATGCAGAAAGAACACCATAGGAAGGAGGACTGGAATATACATATTTCTTGGTGCGTTCTGAACGTTCTTCTAGCCTGCTCCTTATGTTTTTATTTTGGATCCTTTTATTTTACACACCACACTACACAGAATAGATAAACATAATACCTCTCTTAAAAGTTAAATACTACAGGTTGAACTTAAACTCGCTACTCACCTGTTGCTTGATTCATTGTCGATCTCTTTATTGTTCTTTGTATTCTCCTTTTACTTTCGTAAAAACAGATGTTGTGCCACTTCTTTCGAACTTCCTTCAGTGTTCTCTTGCATGTCGATACTTGCGAAACTTTCTGGCGAATAGCTTCCCAGGCTTTGCGCTTCTCGCGCTTGGACTGACTGTCGTTCCCTCCGCTCAAGATAGCGCGATGACGCATGAACTCGTCCGTTAAGAGTTTTCTCTCAATATCGGTCCAGTTTGGCTGTCTTAAGCAAACACCTTCTTTTTTCCGTTTTTCCTTTTTAATTGAAAGATTCAGGGGAACATTATCATCGTTACTTTCTACAGTTGTGGTTTGTGTTGGAGCAATGGCCACAAAATTAAACCACGCCATGCTTGAAGTTGGGCTTTCTTTGCTCTCCTCGGTACTCTGTGCGTGCTTGAACCAGCTACTAAGTTCTCCGCTCAACTGATTGGATCAGATGTAGCATCTGGATGTAAATAGTATCGTCTGCAAAAACGTATTATTAAGTGTGGTTGAAAAAAACAATGTGATTCGTTTACTAAAAGTCGTGTGCAGTTCAGAAAATATTTTAAAAACATATTTACGGAGGGTGGGGGTGGGTGTTAAGAAATGTACAGTACTATAATCATAGTACTGTACTATAATTCCTAAACTTAACGTAATTTAATTAGATTGCAATATAGATGTATGTTGCTACCGTATTGCTGCATATTTATGTTAATAATATATTATGACCAGTTGTATTTTACAGCATCACCATCTTCATCATCGTCATCATCTTTATCATCATCGTCGTCGTCGTCATCATCATCATCCTTATCAATGATAATTATAATAAGTATTATTATTCTTATTTATATTACAA